CTCGCCTGGCATTTCTGGAGACTGGTTTGACGAACCAGAGCTGTCTCAGATTGTGGATTGTTGGTTTTAGAACAGCTCCTTGTTTCAGGTTCACAAAAATGGGAGGGAGGGGGGTCAATCCTGATTAAGCAAGAGGCACCGAGATGCCTATTAAATGGAAGGTATTTCATGTCCTGCCAGCAGACCAATTAGTCAGGAGCTATTAATTAAGAAAGAAGCTTGGCGGAAGGCTGTTTCCTACCCTCACCTCCTTATAAAAAACACAGCTTCTGCTGTGTGATAGAAGCTGGCTGGCAGCTGTCCTCTCATTTTTGCAAATGTCCTTTCCTGAAGGATAAAGCCAGTCCTTTGCACGCATTCAGCTGCTTCTATCCCTGGGATCAAGGATCAAAGGGCCATTGCAATTGAGATGTTGGCCATAGCAAGGTAAAGTCTCTTTAAACCAGTGGTTCTCAACCTTTTTAATGCTGCGACCCCCCAACCGGTCGTAAGTCGAGGACTACTCAACCGGTCGTAAGTCGAGGACTACTCAACTGGTGCAGCACCGTTTGTAGAATGGGACTTTTGGCGGGCTCAGCAGGGCAGAGACAGCCTGGACAATTCCTATTGGCTTTTCAAAGCCAATAGAATTAGACTCTATTCAAGAGAGTCTATTCTATTGGCTTTCAAAAGCACAGCTAAGGAAAAGGGGGAAAAATGGTGGACTGCGTTGTTTGGCGACCCCCGTGAAATGGTCGTTCGACCCCAAATGGGGTCCCGACCCACAGGTTGAGAACCACTGCTTTAAACGGATCATTCCAGAGCAAGGGGGGGGGTCTTCAAAGTTGGCCCTTTTATGATTTGTGGACCTCAACGCCCAGAATTCCTCAGCCAGCGTGCCTGGGAGTTGGTCCACAAGTCATAAAAGGGCCAAGTTTGAAGACCCCTGTTCCAGAGCAAGGAGCTCCATCACTATTGTCAGCCTTGAGCAACCAGAATCACTTGTGAATAGCCTCAAGCATGGCTGGCCCAGGAATTCTGGGAGTTGAAGTCCACGAGTCATAAAAGAGCCAAGGTTGCCTACCCCTGGTCTAGTTTGTGATTCTTCCTTCTGTCTCCCAAGGTCATTTCCACATGCCATTATATCACCACATCTGGCTACCAGCTTAATGAACTTGGCTTGGAAACTATCAACAACCAAAACACCCAGAATAAAAAAACAGGAATCACCTACAATAGTGATGGCGAACCTTTTAGAGACCGAGTGCCCAAACTGCAACCCAAAACCCACTTATGCATCGTCGGGTGCCGGGTGGATGTGGCCCATTGGGTGGGCATGGCCCATTGGGTGGGCATGGGTGCGGTGGTAACGGCAGACTGGGTGGGACTAAAAAGTTCAATCAATCAATTCCAACTTTTGCAAGATTTTTTCTTTTCCCTGCGAGAAGTTGAAATTGACTGATTGATTGACCCTTTTTGGGGGGGGGACACGGCGGTGGCGGCCTAAAGCAAAAAGATTTTATAAAATCCAGCTGAAGGCCTAGGACTGGGGTGAAGGCGCATGTGCCCACACAGAGGGCTCTGAGTGCCGCCTCTGGCACCCATGCCATAGGTTCGCCACCAGTGACCTACAACTACAGTGTAATGGCTGCCACAACCATTACATAAGACAAACAGGCAGCAGACTGACAGAACGCCTTCATGAACATCGATTAGCAGTCAAAAAACATGATGAAAACCCTTTTAATTTCACAACATATGGACAGACCTAACCATAGTTTCTATTGGGAAACTGTGACCCTCCTAGACCAAGCCCAGTTCAAAAACGCTAGGGAATTTATGTTAAGTCTGGCACTCCGATAAATTAGCCATCAAATGACATGTACACATTAACAATAAGATAAGATACAGGAGGATGAAAGAAATAATATAATCTACAAAATCAACTGTAAGGATTGCAACCAATTCTACGTGGGGCAAACATCATGTCAATTAAAAACCAGGATCCACGAACACAGGCTGGCAGTCAAATCCCTCGTCGCTACCCACACTGACACCAAACAGCACCAGTGTGACTGGAGCAGCACTAAAATCATCAGCCACACTACCATCTCATTGAAGCCTGGCACTCCAAAGCAATTCCATCCACAGATACATTGACCTACAACCAGCCTACGAACTCCTTGGGATCCAAATCAACCACACAGACAACCATAGATAGCATCAACCCTCAACCAGCCCATGCAAGCCCCCCTCCCTCCCACCAGCAGTTCACCTCCCAAGGACCCCGACCTGATGTAACTTCCCCATCACAAGACCCATCACAAGACCCTTACTGGACACACCCATACCTGAGGCGCCTATAAACAGAAGAAAACGGACACTGTGACATCCCCCAAAGCAGGGGTAGGCAACCTTGGCTCTTTTTTGACTCGTGGACTTCAACTCCCAGAATTCCTGAGCCAGCATGGCTCAGCTTGGAAACCTCTCCCTTTCCCCTCAGCATGGCTGGCTCAGGAATTCTGGGAGTTGAAGTCCACGAGTCATAAAAGAGCCAAGGTTGCCTACCCCTGCCCTAAAGTCTGCTGAAGTTGTTACCCAGCCTAGTAACGAAACATTCGGAAACCAAACCACAAGCTTGGAGAACAAACCTTCACCCTCACATAAACAATATCTATATGCTGTGCAAATGAGCCACTCAACAAACCAAAAAAGGAACAAAAAAGACCCTAGCCGCTCTCCCCCAACAATCAGCACCCAGATCAGCATAGATTAACTCCAAAGATTAACATGAGACCAACAATCAAGTAAACAATAACCCCAATCAAGGAACTGCCAAAGAAGCCAACAGAAAGCAGCCCAACCAAAGGACTTCTAAAACCATCCCAGGGCAAGCCACTAGAATATAAACTGAGAGCAAACCCACTCCTTACTAACCCTGATGATGTTCCCTAGCTGGGTAATAAAATGTCTGCAAGGGAAAACAACCAACCTCAGAGAACAGCAAGGACCCCTCATTTCAACCCTGAGCTAGAAATATTCTCCTTGATTAGCTCTCAACAACTCCATACCCTACATAACAATCTTCCAAGATGTATCTTTGGCTCTTGAACACGCTGGAGGAACAATGGGTTGATCCCATCACAGCATGGAACAAATTTAAACCAATTGCTTTTTCCAGGATTAATGGCACAGTAAATTAAAGCAGCTTTTAAACTGGAGTTGTATGTTATAAGCAGAAGGGATTTCCCATCAGTTCATAGGCTGATCCATAAGAACAAAAGACCGGGGATTTAATCAAGTCCAATTTACTGACAGCTGTAAAAGAATGTGGAAATGACTTTGGGATGGAGGACCGATTAAAGGAGATGAAAAGGCAACTCAATTGGGGAAAGTGAAAAGTATAAGAGAGAAAAAAATCTAAAAATAACTGCAGCTTGAATCTGTTTGGTATGACACAAGGCAGAGAGGAACTCTGTGAAGATTCTGTTATTATTCTGGAACTTTGCTGTTATATATATATATATATATATATATATGGAAAGGTATCTTCATTGAACTTTGCTGTTATATATATATATATATATATATATATATATATATATATATATATATATATATATATATATATATATATATATATATTTTTCTGAGGTTTTCGCGGGTATTTGTATGTAGGTCTTTGGTTGTTCAGGTTTTCTCCCGCGTAAAATTGGAAGTGTCTTGGCGACGTTTCGATGAAGTCCCATTCGTCATCTTCAGGCTGGTGTTTTCAGCTTCGTGCTTCGAGCAGCTCGAAGCACGAAGCTGAAAACACCAGCCTGAAGATGACGAATGGGACTTCGTCGAAACGTTGCCAGACACTTCCAATTTTACGTGGGAGAAAACCCGAACAACCAAAGACCTACATATATATTATATATATATATATATATATAATATATATATATATATATTATATTCAATAATGATGGTGAAAATTCAGCAGGGAATGCTAGCACAGTCTAGGAACCACGTGCAGACGTCTATGGAACCCGTTTGAATCACCTTGTTAGAAACGGTCTCTCAGCCCTGAAGATGTTGGGGAGTTTTCCCAACGAAAGCTTGGCAACCTTTTAATATAGTAAAATACTTTAATTAAAGTATTTTAACTTTAAACTCTCCTGGTGAACGCGCTTTATTCATTCCATTTATATATATATATATATATATATATATATATATATATATATATATATATATATATATATATGGAAAGGTATCTTCAGCAATGGATGAATGGCTGGAAAAATTGATGGACTGAGCAGAGATAGCTAAATGGACTTTGTTTCTACTTGGAAAGCGCTTCTGGATTTTGTGCTGGAGTTGGGGGGAAAAAATGAAACTTTGACTGTGGGTTTCAATCACTTAACAACTGTCTTGTTTAGCAACAGAAGTTTTGGACTCAATTGTGGTCGTAAGTCAAGGACTACCTGTAACTTTCATTTCGATAAAGGTAGATCCTTAACTTATGATCGGTTGCTTAGGGACCATTTGACGTTACAATCTCCCTGGGAAACGAGACAGCATGGATCGGAAGTTCCAACAGTTGCTCCGCCCACTCAGACAGTCACGTGACTGTCCTTCGTCCTTTTTTCAACATGGCTGCATTTACTGCCATTTGCAGCCTCCTGCCGTCACATGCCCATGACTGACAACATGTTTGCCGAAAACTGGTGTTTACTTCTGCCTTTGGGCAAAACCATAGCATAGTGAAAAATGGGTTCGCTTAAGGAGTGCAGTGTTCACTTAATGACAATGGCATTCATTTTACAACTGCCTTGTTCACGTAACAACCACTACAAAAAAAAATGTAAAACTGTTTTACACAAATTAAAGTTCCCAATCGTAATTGGCAGATCCATTACAGTCATAACTGGGGGACTACCGAGAGTACTGGTTTTGTGGCATCTAAGAACTTTACACAACAAGCCAACCCCAGTTGTTTAGATTATGCATGCTGTATATCCCTGCTCACTTACAGATTCTGTGCCAAATGGAAACGGTGTCACTTTGAGCGCCATCTTTGTAGTAGGCCCAGATGGAAATCTTATATTCGGTATTTTCTTTCAAACCAGGCAAAACAGAAGATGCCAAGTTTCCAGCAACGGGTATCTGTGGAAAAAAGAAATAGTATCAGCTACATACTTCAAACCCAAGAATACACTAAGGCAGAAGCTTGTTTCCCCCCCCCCCCAGACAAAACACACAGACACAAACTGAGCAATGTGGTATATGCAGTACAATGCAGTGAGCCATGTGCAGATCTGTACATTGGGGAAACAAAAAGACCACTTCATAAACACATGGCACAACACAGGAGAACAAACCCACCAGAACAAGATTCAGCATCTACATTTGAAAGACAGCAAAGTCCACATTTTGGACAGAGAGGACCCTTGTTTTTCCTTTTGCTTTTGCAATTTTTTAGAACTAAATTGCTACCTGATTCTTTTGATCTAACACAATTATTATGAATAGCATAATATTTTAGAAAAACAGATACATCACGTTTTAGTTGCCTAGTTCTTTATTAATATTTTTTAAAAAACTGTATCGTGTCTTAATTGGGTCTTCTGTGGCAGTATAAATTTAGACTGTGAATAGCATAATATTTTAGGAAAACAGATAAATCATGTTTTAGTTGCGTAGTTCTTTATTAGTATTTAAAAAAAATTGTATCGTGTCTTAATTGGGTCTTCTGTGGCAGTATAAATTTAGACTGGGGGGAAAAAAAATCAAAGAAAAACAAACCCTTCCTGACAGGTAATTTTCCAATAGAAATCAAGATCTGTCACTTTCATCTATCATTTCCTATGATTTGTTTGGCTAAAGATTGCATTCAATCTTTGGGTGCTTTCCAGAGATTGCATCAAATAAGCAGATGGAACAATGTAAAGGGGGGGAGGGAATATGTGCAGCAGAACCTCAGCTCTGCAAATAGGATTGTCTGAAAGGGGGGCTCCTACAAAAGGCTCTTTTGCCTGCCCCATCCTCAGCAAATGCTTGTTGAGAGAAAAATCTTCATCAGGGTCCAGTCCAAGCCGGGAATAATCAAAATGGAGACTGCTTTAGAAAGAAGATGGCAGTTTATTGAAGAGGAGAGCCAGACAGAAAGATGGCTCTGGGAAAACTGGGCACATGTAGCTGGGAATAGTGGGTTTTTATACCTTCTGGGGCTTTTGAGGTTGTTTCCTGTTCCGGTTTGAGACTTTGTATTTCCTGTGTCATGTACTTCGATCAGAGTCTGAGTGTGCCCTTTTGGTATTGGTGGGTTAATTCTATTATGTCTCCTGTCCTTAGAATTTGGGTGGGGGTATGTAGATTTTAGGTGTCTTTGTCTTCCTAATAGCTTCCTGGCTCTAACTTTCCTGAATGGATTATTACATCTGCATTTCTAAAAGCTGGCATCTGCCTAGTTTCTGCTTGGGGGAGGGGGGCTGGGGCTAGTTTCTGGGGGCTGATTTCTGTCTTTTTAAAGATCTTCTCCATTATTCCTTTGGGGAAATATATTCTGCCTTATTTAATATTCCCCAAAATATTTCTTTCTCTGGATTTTTCCCACATGCTTCTGTCTACAAATGATTAAAAATTCCTTCTTTCCAAAGCATCCGGCATTTTAAACAGCCCATCTGACATCTTGGAATTGTGCACCAGGCCTTCGGACTGTGGTTCCCAACCTTTTCTATACCCTGCACCCCTAGAACGCTTCTCATATATTCTCGCACCCCTTACAAAAGTTTGAAATAATGGCAACGAATTATGCATACACACTATAATTTTGAAAACCCAAGTTTTTGCACCCCCTGGAATATCATCTTGCACCATCTTGCGAGCACCCCCCCCCCCAGTTGGGAACCCCTGCCTTAGGAGGAGAAATTGAGCTACCTTGATAAGGTCAGATACTAAAACGTGAAGCAGAAGATTGGATGGGATGTGCAGAATGGCAGGTGTTTTCAGGCTGCTCTACGAAAGGGTTATTTTAAAAAAGAAATTAACAAAGAGAATATTTGTAGCTCAGGGTTCAACTATGGGGCTCTTGGTGGTCTTTGACCTTGGTGGCTTTTTTGTGGACATTTCTTGACTCAGCTAGGTAACAGCATCCATACTAGAAAGAAGGTGTGTTTGTTGGGAGGAGGAGGAGGGGGAAGAGGAGGAGGAGGAGGAGGAGGAGGTGTGAGGAGGAGGAGGAGGAGGAAGAAGAAACTGTGGGGTCCTTGGTGCTCTCTCAGCTTAGATTTCTTAGAGATATTTCATGACCCAACTAGGTAACATCATCAGTGCTAGAAGGGAATGGGGTGTGTGAGGAGGAGGAGGAGCAGGAGGAGCAGGAGGAGGAGGAGAACTGTGAGGTCCTTGGTGCTCTCTCAGCTTAGATTTCTTAGAGATATTTCATGACCAACTAGGTAACATCATCAGTGCTAGAAGGGAATGGGGTGTTTGAGGAGGAGGAGCAGGAGGAGGAGCAGGAGGAGCAGGAGAACTCTGAGGTCCTTGGTACTCTCTCAGCTTAGATTTCTTAGAGATATTTCATGACCAACTAGGTAACATCATCAGTGCTAGAAGGGAATGGGGTGTTTGAGGAGGAGGAGGAGGAGGAGCAGGAGCAGGAGGAGCAGGAGAACTCTGAGGTCCTTGGTACTCTCTCAGCTTAGATTTCTTAGAGATATTTCATGACCCAACTAGGTAACATCATCAGTGCTAGAAGGGAATGGGGTGTTTGAGGAGCAGGAGGAGCAGGAGGAGCAGGAGGAGGACAACTGTGGGGTCCCTGGTGCTCTCTGAGCTTGGTTTCTTTACAGACATTTCATGACTCACCTAGGTAACATCATCAGTGCTAGAAGGAAGTGGGGTTTGCTCTGTTTATATATAGTGGCTTGCCCACTCAATGCTGCTGGGAGGATTTTTGGGGGGTAGTTCCTTGACTGGGTGTTGTTTATGGTTTGGTTGTTGATCTAGTCTAGTGTTAATCCAACTCCACTCCTTTCTAGCACTGATGATGTTACCTAGTTTGGTCATGAAATGTCTGCAAGCAAACAACCAAGCTCAGAGAGCACCAAAAAAAAACCCCCACAGTTTAGCTCTGATCTACAAATATTCTCTTCTATCAATCCAGTATTTGTAGTTCAGGATTGAAATGAGGGGTCCTTGGTACTCTCTGAGCTTGGTTGCTTGCTTGCAGACGTTTCACGACCCAACTAGGCAACATCATCAGTGCTAGAAGGGGGGGTTTACTCTCTTTTTATATACAAGCACTCGCCTTATCAGTGCTGAGGGGAGAGTTCTTGGTTATTCATTAGGTCGTTCCTTGATTAGCCTGTGAAAAGGAACTGCAGGGATGGCTCAAATTGAAAATCCTCATATGGAAATAATGTTATAGTTCCAACATATGAAACTCTTCAAAGAACTTCGAGGCATTGTTTACCTTAAAGAATCTCTTTGAGCAGCAAACACGTTTGGGCACTTACATAGTTCAAGCCAAAATCTGACTTCCCCTCCCCTCAGCACATAGATCAAAGCACAATTCCCTCCTACAACTAACAGTCATAAATCCATTCTCCAATTAGTTTGAAATGGTGGCTTTCCTCCCAGTTCTTCATCCCGCCATGCCTTATCATCTCTTATTACAATATTGTATGTCTAACTAACTCCCATCACATTCCTCCCCCTGCCCCAGCATCATCTAATTCTAAGAGTAAAACATAAGAAAGAAAAAGGCTGCAACTCCATATGTTGTCAAAGCAAGAACATCCGATGTTAGCAGCGTTGACAAATGTCCTGTAAAATCCGCAAGGCCCTCAAGCACCCCCTCCCCAGATGTCTCCCAGGGGCTTCGTACCTCCTGTTCTGTGTCTTCTCCAAGCACGTTCCATTTGATCTGGTAAAGGACCACGTCAGAAGCGGTGGATGCTTCCCATTCCAGTTGGACCTCATTTCTGGAGAGCTCGGTGACCTTCAGCTGGCTCGGTGGGGGCACCTTTACTGGGGGGGGGGAAAGGGAGGAACAAGCAAAGACTATATTAGGTTTAGCCCTACGTTTCTCTTCTACTCAAAAGCTCAGCAGCAGAGCAGATGGTGAGGGAGTCTCAGCCTCTTTCCCCAGCATCTTCTCCAGACCCCGAACGATTCAAGCTTATTTTGTCGGGAAGGGAAAGCCCGGTGTGTAATATTGTACAGCCATAAATTAAAGCCTCATTATTTCACTTTAGCAAGGCCTGTTCAAGCTGGCCTTTCCAGACAAAGTGAAAATCCAGGTGAGGTATTCAAAGAAGCAGTAAGTCGAGGAGAAATAGGTTTCTCCAGATACATTCAAGGTTTCAGAATTACAGTCTAAACTAAGAAAGAAAACTTCCAGGAAGGAGATTAAAAAGAGAGTCGCCTGACAGTGATGAGGTGGGCAGCATATAAATTTAATAAATAACATAAATAAAAAAACCTTTTTTTAATTTTCCAAAGGAAAGAGGCATGGATAATCCTTGAGTTATGGCAGTGTCCGTTTGAAGTTACAACGGCACTAAAAAAAATGACTTATGACCATTCTTCATACTTATGACTGTGGCAGCATCCCCATGGTCATGTGATCAAAATTCACACACTTGGCAACTGGCAGGTACTTAATGAAAAATATGTATCCTTCCTTCCTTCCTTCCCTTCCTTCTCTTTCTTTCCTTCCATCTGTCCTTCCTTCCTTCCCTCCCTCCCTGTATATATGTTGTGTATATCTTTGTGTCTTTTAATGGCTGATTTGTCTGAATGCCAAGCCTCCTAGCATTTTGGATTTGGCTTGGACTAAGAGACAGTTTCTCAGTTGAAAATGTCCAAGGGTTGTGAGATCAAAGACAGTTGATAGTTAGAACAATTAAACAGTGGAACAACCTGCCTCCAGAAGCGGTGAATGCTCCAACACTGGAAGTTTTTAAGAAGAGACTGGACAGCCATTTGTCCGGAATGGTATAGGGTTACTTGCCTGAGCAGGGGGTTGGACTAGATGACCTCCAAGGTCCCTTCCAACTTTATTATTATTGTAAGAGTTTTCATTGTGCCTTCTGACTGCTGGTGCCTGTATCAGGTTATGCTCTGTTAGACTTCAGCCTGTCTGTCCTACATACTGTCCTACATACTGATGGCTTGCATTGTGTTACTATTGGGACTAAGGGTTATTTTATTCATTTTGGTTATTTTGCTATATTTATCAGTCACCATTTAAAACTGGAAGGATAAGAAAAGAACGTTTCATCAGGTGATACAGGAAGAAACAACAGCTGTTATCCTATCAGGGATCTGGAAGGAGGTAAAAACATCCGTGGTGTTTGAATTGCCCAAATTCTAAATGATATTGGAATGCTTCTATACTTTGTATTATACTCCAGTGATCATCCTAAAGCAGTGGTTCTCGACCTTTTTAATGCCGCGACCCCCAACCGATCGTAAGTCGAGGACTACTCAACTGGTGCAGCACCGTTTGAAGAATGGGACTTTTGGCGGGCTCAGCAGGGCAGAGATAGCCTGGACAATTCCTATTGGCTTTTGAAAGCCAATAGAATTAGACTCTATTCAAGAGAGTCTATTCTATTGGCTTTCAAAAGCCAATTAGAATAAAAGGGAGTAGCACAGCTAAGGAAAAGGGGGAAAAAATGGCGGACTGCGTTGTTTGGCAACCCCCATGAAATGGTCGTTCGGCCCCAAATGGGGTCCCGAACCACAGGTTGAGAACCACTGTCCTAAAGCAATTGAACTTAAGGTTCGATCCTCAATGTTTCAACAAAACCCATCAAAATAAAAGAAGGAAAAGTTGGAAGGGACCTTGGAGGTCTTCTAGTCCAACTCCCTCCTCAGGCAGGAAACCCTATACCATTTCAGACAAATGGCTGTTCAGTCTTTTCTTAAAAACTTCCAGTGTTGGAGCATTCACGGCTTCTGGAGGCAGGTGATTAATTGTTCCCACTGTCAGGAAATTTTTCCATAGTTCTAGCTTGGTTCTCTCCTTGATTAGTTTCCATCCGTTGCTTTTTCTTCTGACTTCAGGTGCTTTGGAAAATAAGTCAATCCCCTCTTCTTTGTGGTACCCTTACAAGTTCTGGAAGTCTCCTATCATGTCACCCCTAGTCCTTCTCTTCATTAGACTAGACCAGGGGTAGGCAACCTTGGCTCTTTTATGACTCGTGGACTTCAATTCCCAGAATTCCTGAGCCAGCCATGCTGAGGGAAAAGGGAGAGGTTTCCAAGTTGAGCCATGCTGGCTCAGGAATTCTGGGAGTTGAAGTCCACGAGTCATAAAAGAGCCAAGGTTGCCTACCCCTGGACTAGACATACCCAGTTCCTGAAACTGTTTGATCATATGTTCCAACATCTAGTCTCCTAATCATCTTTGTTTCTCTTTGCTTTCTTTCTAGAGTCTCAACACCTTTTTTTGTATTGTGGTGACCAAAACTGCATGGCAATATTCCAAGTGACATCTTACCAAGACATTATAAAGCGGTACTAACATTTCACCTGTTCTTGACTCTATACCTCTGTGAATGCAGCCTAGGATTGGGACATTCTGTACTTACATGTCGTAAAATTGCCCATTATTGGAAACGAGTTGCCTTCATCATAAACAGAGACCACACGGACAAAGTATTGTGTCAGTGAGGAGAGGGGCTTCAGCACAGCAAAGGAGACATTTCCAGAGACCTCCACCTGAAATGGAAGAGGTAGACCACTGATGGAGAATCTTTTAGAGACTGAGTGCCCAAATTGCAACCCAAAAACCACTTATGTATCATTGGGTGCCGGGTGGGTGTGGCTCATTGGGTGGGTGTGGCCCATTGGGTGGGCGTGGCTGTGGTGGTAACAGCAGACTGGGTGGGACTAAAAAGTTCAATCAATCAATTCCAACTTTGCAAGATCTTATTTTTCCCGTGAGAAATTGAAATTGATTGATGGATTGAACCTTTTTTTTTTTTGCACATGGCGGCAGAGGTCCAAAGCGAAAAGGTTTTATAAAACTCAACTGAAGGACTAGGACTGGGGTGATGGCACACATGCCTACAGAGAGGGCTCTACATGCACCTGTGGCACGCGTGCCATAGGTTCACCACCACGGAGGTAGACACTGCAGGAAGCTGGAAGATGTTTGTTTGCTGATTAGTTATTTACTTATAAGTTATAAGTAAAAATATTTCAGAGCCGTGATGGTGCAGTGGTTACAATGCAGTTTTGCAGGCTGACTCTGCCGACTGCCTGCAGTTTGATTCTCACCGGCTCAAAGTTGACTCGGCCTTCCAGCCTTTCGAGGTCGGTAAAATGAGGGGCCAGATTGTTGGGGGCAATAAATAAGCTGACTTGGTAAACCGCTTAGACAGGGCTATAAAGCGATATATACGTCTTATTACTATAAACTATCCCCTGGGTTTGAAAACAATATATCGGACAAAGGATCTTGCTCTAAGTTGGTAAGAGCAAAACTAACTTCTCATGATCACTTACCTCACCCACGTTGCTTCCTCTACTGGAGGAATACATAACTCGGTGACTTTTCACAGGTTGTGAAGCTGCCTCCCAGTTGACGCAGGTCGACATATGGCTGATGTTGGAGAAATGCAAATACCTTGGAGGGCTCAGGGCCACTGGAAGAAAGGGTGCATGTTGTCAGGTGTGAAGAATCAGGACCACACATTAAGTTCCAGTTATGATGATTCATTGCCAATCTAGAAGAGCTGAGGTGGCGCAGCAGTTAGGGTGCAGTACTGCAGGCCACTTTAGCTGACTGTGTTCAGCAGGTCAGCGGTTCAAATCTCACCGGCTCAAGGTTGACTCAGTCTTCCATCCTTCTGGGGTAGGTAAAATGAGGACCCAGATTGTTGGGGGCAATGTAAATATATATATATATACATTGCTTACTGATGTACACCGCTTAGAGAGTGCTTGCACTTAAAGTGGTATATAAGTCTCATAAATAAATAAATCTAACTCAGGCAAGAAGGTCAGTGAATGGGACATCATTCAGAAAAGAGGCTCTGTGTCTCTTCTAAATAATTCTCATAAACATCCACCACCCACCCCTGCATACAAATGCTTACCATTTCTCAAGTTACTGCACTTAAACTGGGTTTACAAAACCCACTGAATCAATTCTCTATTCTGAGTTTGCTACAATTCAGGGAACTAGAAAGAAACCAACTAGACTGAATTTGCATAATGCTCAAAACCACCATCACATTAACCAAGGTTAATGCTAAACCCTTTTTACGTTTTGTTTTTTTTTTACAGATGCATCTGCTGTGTAATGACTTGCCTTTTAACAGCATGTTGTGTGAACATTTCCTTTCAGATCAGTTCAGGGTAATTTCCTGAGCAAGACTAGGTTTGTTCTCTCTCTCTCTCTCTCTTTATGACTCCAGTTACAGATTGTTGGGACCTGATGACACAATTTCTTTCTAACCAGAAAGCTTCAAATCAAAGCTGTCAAGACTTCCTTAGATTCTTATGTGTGAAGCTGTGAGCCAGAGAAACATGTCACATGACTTACAAGTAGTTTCCTGAATACTTGCTGGGTTGCTAGCATCTTCTCCATACATGGCATAAACTGCTAGTGAGTATTCAGTGCTGGGAGTCAAGCCCCTGATCCATACTTCCGGCTGTTCTACTTTCAGCTGAAAAGAAAGAGTGAAATAGTTGGTGGATGATGCGAGGGAGGGAGGGAGGGAGGGAGGGAGGGAGGGAGGGAGAAAGAAAGAAAGAAAGAAAGAAAGAAAGAAAGAAAGAAAGAAAGAAAGAAAGAAAGAGGAAGGAGGGAGGGAAGGAAGGAAGGAAGGAAGGAAGGAAGGAAGGAAGGAAGGAAGGAAGGAAGGAAGGAAGGAAGGGGAGAGAGAAGAAAGGAAGAAAGAAAGGATTGAAGGGAAGGGGGAGGGAGGGGAGAGTGAGGAAAGAAAGAAGGAAGGGAGGGAGGGAGGAAGGGAGGGAGGGAGATGAGAGGAAGGAAAAAGAATGGAAGGAGAAAAATGAGGGAAGAGAGGGAGGGAGAGGGAGGGAGGGAGATCAGAGGATGAAAAGAAGGATGGCAGGAGAAAAATGAGGGAAGGAAGGGAAGGAGGGAGGGAGGAAGGGAGGGAGGGAGGGAGGAGGGAGGAGGAAAGGAAGGGAGGAGGGAGGAAGGAAGGGAGGGAGGGAGGGAGGGAGGGACGGAAGAAGGGAGGGAGGGAGGGAGATGAGAGGAAGGAAAAAAGGATGGAAGGAGAAAAATAAGGGAAGGGAGGGAGGGAGGGAGGGAGGGAGAGAGGGAGAGAGGGAGGGAGATCAGAGGATGAAAAGAAGAATGGGAGAAAAATGAGGGAAAGAAGGGAGGGAGGAAGGGAAGGAGGGAGGGACATGAGAGGAAGGAAAGAAGGATGGAAGGATTGAAGGGAAGGGGGAGTGATGGAGGGAGGAGAGTGAGGAAGGAAGGAAAGAAGGAAGGAAGGAAGGAAGGAAGGAAGGAAGGAAGGAAGGAAGGAAGGAAGGAAGGAAGGAAGGAAGGAAGGAAGGATAATCCAACCTACAGAAGGTGCACGACCTGTCCATTGTGTACCTGCCTCTCTATGAGATTGTTGAGAAATTGAAAAAGAAAAATACGCATTTATCAGCATAACCACGAGCAGATGGGCAATCCCTCTACAGACTGCAAATAAAGAGATTCTAACTTTATCAAGAAAACTTTGGGGAAAAGAAAAGATTCTGTGACTTCACAGAGACTTCATCTTAATGTTTTCATGAGGAAAACAAAGCCGGAGGGGATCCTATCTTAGCTTTCCAGATCCATTAAAAAAGGTCCACAGGAAGCGAGCTTCCTTCAGCATCTTCTGCAATGTACCGCAGTAACACCCCAGCAACACTGTTACGTGCAGTCTGCCTTAAGTGCATTTGTAGCAACACATCTGGAGGATGGAAGAAACAAGCTGACATTTCTATTTTGTTCCCATCTCAAACTGTTTTATCTGTCTAGTTGCGCATTCGGTGAACTGCTGTTTAACTTGACAAGGGAATCATTTCCTTAACTTGTTGTTCTCAGAAACAAACGTGTTTTGCCAATCTTGAGAGTACTGGGGAGTCCTTGGTACAGTTGAACTCCCAAGTTTCATAGCTTCTCTCCTGTTGGAACCTTAGAATAAGCACATCTGGGCTGCAAACATTTAGATGACCACCAGATGGAAGCAGAGTCCGAATTTTCTGCATCTCTTTAACCCCACCATGGGGTCACATGAATCATTGCAACTCAGACATACAGTACTGGACTTATAACCCTTCGTTTAGTGACCGTTCGTGGTTACAACAGCACTGAAAAATTAGCTTGTGGCTTTTCTTCACACTTATGGCCATTGCACCGTCCCCGTTGTCATGTGATGAAAAATTTGGACACTTGGCAACTGGCAAGCATCCCAGAGTCATGTGATTGCCTATGGTGACCTTCTGACAAGCAAAGTCAAAGAGAAAGGCAGATTCACTTAACAGCTGTGTTATTCGCTTACTAGCTGCAGCGATTCACTTAGCAACTGTGGCAAGACAGGTTGTGAAATGGACACAACTCACTTAATAATTGTTTTGCTTAGCAGTGGAAATTTTGGGCTCAGTTGTGGTTGTAAATTGAGGACTGTCTCTAATGGGGCTACAAAATCTCAGGGAATAAAGAGCAATTTTTCAACCATGCTATCTGACTTTAATGGATCGTCCCGTCTTGTGTTGAAAGAAAAGTCTTCATCGTGGTTCAGTCCAAGCTGGGAATAAACATGGTGACTGCTTTAGAAAGAAGGTTGCAGACAGAAGGATGGCTCTGGCAGAAAAGCATGCCCAGTTTTTCTTAATAGCCCCACGTCTCCCTTCCCCAAGCAGAAACCAGCTCTGTAGATATGCAGATGTAAACTATCAGAAAGGTTGAAGCTAGAAGCTTAGGAAGACAAAGACACTTAAGATCTACATACTCCATCCAAACTCTAAGACAGGACATAATAGGATTAACCCACAGATGCCAAAGGGCACACTCAGACTCAGGTCAAAATCATGATACAGGGAATCAAACAGGAACAGGAAACAACTCCAAACAAAAGGCTCCAGAGGGTATAAAACCCACTCCTTGCATGTGCTCACTCTCTTTTCTGCCAGAGCCATCTTTCTGTCTGGCTCTCCTCTTTAATAAACTGCAACCTTCTTTCTAAAGCAGTCGCCATGTTTATTCCCAGCTTGGACTGAACCACGATGAAGACTTTTCTTTCAACATTTGTAAGACTAAGGCAGGGGTCCCCAACCCCTGGGTCATGGACTAGTACCGGCCGCAGGATACCAGAAAATGGGCTGCACAAACAAGCAAAGCCCCATCTGTGAGATGCAGGCAGCACACAAAACAACACACCCTCCAGTTTGCGGAAAAACTTCTCTTCACAGAACCGGTCCCTGGTGCCAAAAGGTTGGGGACCTCTGGACTAAGGAAAGCATCTCTTGGTCTTCATCCAGTAGAGCTTTTCATAAGACTGCACTCTGTTTAATGTGCACCATAGAAAATGTTGAAATTTATCCCTGTATCAAAATCCTACCATGCTTGTACATTTTCCGTCTTACGTCTCTGGATTGTGGTGGACTGTAGTTAGGAGGGAGGGGAGGGTCGCTTCTCAGAGGGCAAACAGAGTGGAATGTGTAGGAGGCAAGAAGAGGATGAAGGTGGACTATCCCTAGCAGATCACAGAGTAGATCTGTAGTTACACAGATAGTTGCTTTAGTCTGGCAAGATTGATGTCAGGCCCAGGAAGGACATGTACAGTTACTTGCAAGTGGTTTCTTTACTGTTTACCAAGTCTGAGAACCAAGAATGACACATGGAGTTACTTCTGAGTAGTTTCTTCATTATTCCCCAGGCCAAAGAACCAAGAACAATGGGTGGAGTTACTTCCAAATAGGGTTTTTTTATTGTTCACCATGCTCAAGAACCAAGAATGACACATGGAGTTACTTCTGAGTAGCTTCTTTATTGTTCACCAGGCCCCAGAATGACATGTGGGGTTACTTCTGAGTAGTTTCTTCTTTGTCCCCAGGCCAAAGAACCAAGAACAACAGGTGGAGTTACTTCTGAGTAGCTTCTTTATTGTTCACGAGATTCAACAACCAGGAATGACACATGGAGTTACTTCTGAGTAGTTTCTTCATTGTTCCTCAGGCCCAAGAACCAAGAACAGCAGATGGAGTTACTTCCCAGTAGCTTCTTTATTGTTCCCCAGGCCCAAGAACCAAGACCGACAGTGGGTTTACTTCCAAGTTGTTTCTTCATTCACCTACAGACAGAATCTTCCCGACTAAAACAGCTATCTGCATAACTATAAATCTACTCTGTGAACTTCTAGCGAGGGGTCATCTTTGCCCTCTTTCTGCCCACCAGATATTCCACACTCCACTGTCTCTTTGCACTCTGGAAGGCAGCCTCTCCCCACTCCTGGGATTCCTGATAACATTCCACCACAGAGCTCTGCAAAAGATGCCACAAAGCACAGTGTGAAGGTGACTGAAACAAAAGTTCTTTACCTCTTTTGTATCGTCTTCAGCACCGTTGGGTGTTGACGAAGACAGGATAAGATACTGCGTGGCCCCTTCAACTGGTTCCCACGTGAGCTTGATACTGTTGTGGTTAATCTCAGATGTTCTGAGAGATCTGGGCGCAGACAAAGGTACTAGAACACAACATACAAATGATACACATGTAGGTTACAAGAGCTGAGGTCATTGTCCAAAAACTTTTAAGTCTTTCAATTTTAAACTTAAACTGAAGGCTAGCCCTGATGATGTTACCTAGTTGGGTAATTAAACATCTGGCAAAAAACAACCAAGCTCAGAGAGGACCAAGGACCCCCCAGTCTTCCTCCTCCCTTTCTAGCCCTGATGATGTTACCTAGTTGGGTAATGAAATGTCAACAAGAAAACAAAAGAGCGCCAAAGACCCCACTTAATTTTTTCCCAAACTTAATGCAAACATTCTGCTTTTTTCATTCAAACTTATTCCATTCTTCATCCTTCTTTTCTGCCATTCCGATTCAGTTTAATGAGAAAAAAAAAGTCTCCATAGACCAGTGATGGCGAATCTTTTAGAGACCGAGTGCCCAAACCACAAGCCAAAACCCACTTCTTTATTGCAAAGTGCCAGGGCTGCATCAGCATTGTGGTGCCCTCGGGGGGGGGGGGGGGCAGGGAGTTGCCTCTGAGTGCCGCCTCTGGCACGCAAAAACCGGGGGTGCAAAAATGGGCCACTGTGCTGCAAGGGGCAAAAATGGTCACTGCCGTGCTGCGAGATGCAGATACAAAGTACTGCACCATGCAAGAACAGGGCAGGAATAGTGAGTATCATGCAAGCACTAGCCCCGCCCCATTTGCAGCACGTGCGTGCTTGTGGCCCCATGCGTGCATGCACATATGTAAAATGCTTCCCCCTCCCTTTTCTTCCAGTCCACCAATCGACAATGGTCAGTGACCTCTGCTCTACTACCTCTACTCGAACTTGCTAGTCAGCTGCTTCACCTCCTTTGTGGTGGGCGGGGCTCCTGCTCCGAGCAGCGGTGGTGGCTTGATGGACCTGCTGCTGGTGGGGGTGGCGGCATGCATGCCAACAGAGAGGGCTTTGAGTGCCACCTGTGGCACGTGTGCCATAGGTTTGCCACCACTGCCATAGTGGTGCAAGAGCTATGCAAGAACTGAAGAAGCTTCTTGGATGAGAAGCAAAATGTCTTCAAAGAAAAATAAGAAAGTCCAGTTGCCTCCTAAAAAAAGCACTTTTGGGACAACCATGACATGGATGATTGAGAATCTCCATAGACAAATGACTTCTAAGTGTTTTTAGGAGGTAATGTGGGGGTTTTTTTTGTTTCTACCCCTACAAAGAAAAGAATTTTGAACAGTTTTTTGATGTAGGTTTCTTACACGTAAACGTATGTGTGAGGTTGACAAGGTCCATGGATATTTTGAACTGGGTGAGAAGAAGCACTTATATCAGTGGTTCTCAACCTGTGGGTCGGGACCCCGTTTGGGGTCGAACGACCATTTCACGGGGGTCGCCAGACAACGCAGTCCGCCATTTCCCCCCCCCCCCCTTTTCCTTAGCTGTGCTGCTCCCTTTTATTCTATTGGCTTTTGAAAGCCAATAGAATAGACTCTCTTGAATAGAGTCTAATTCTATTGGCTTTCAAAAGCCCATAGGAATTGTCCAGGCTGTCTCTGCCCTGCTGAGCCTGCCAAAAGTCCCATTCTGCAAATGGTGCTGTACCAGTTGAGTAGTCCTCGACTTATGACTGGTTGAGTAGTCCTCAACTTACGACCGGTTGGGGGTCGCGGCATTAAAAAGGTTGAGAACCACTGACTTATATGAATGCCAAACTGCATTACTAAGACAGCCTTATTGTTTCCTGCCACTTTAACAATCTCATTAACTGCAGCTAACTGACCCTTTAAAGCAGCTACATCTTTTGACGAGGTCGCTGTTAGTCCTGCCAGGTAGTCCCAATGAGAAGCACAACCAAGAATATTAGGTCCACCCTAATTGTAAGGCTACATTAACAGATTGTTGCAGGACTGAGTGTCTTTTCCCCTTCCCCTCCTTTTACTCTTCAGAAAACTATGGAGGGTCACTTCTCTAAATGTTTCCCACACATCTCCCTTTCTGCTATTGGCTGAGACATATTTTATATGCAGGTTGTCCTGTCTGCAGCTCTGCCCTCTGTCTCCCAAGGCCATTCACGCATAAGATAAGATAAAATAACCTTTATTGTCATTTTTTTTTATTGTGAGCATACTGGCCCACGTTAAAAATGAAATTCTGTTGCCTGTTCTCAAAAGAAAGTATATATCTATCCATACACATACATAACACACATATACACATGCTATACACACACACAAACACACAGAGAGAGAGGGGGGGAGAGAGAGATCTATGTCCATTTTGAACACATAGCAGAAAGAGGAAACTTGAGAATTTACAAGGTTAATACTGTATGGAACGGAACTGTGACTGAATCAGGATGTTCTGTTCCGGATGCCATGAACCCCCCTCCTCCCAGAAGGTAACAAGGAAAACAGGTTGTGAAGAACATGTGTGGTGTCCTAGACAATCTTACGGACTCTGCTCAAGCAACGCTTCTGTGCTATGTCCTGGATGGAAGGGAGGGAACTGCCAATAAACTTTTCTGCCGTCCTCACCACTCTCTGCACCGCCTTCCTGTCTGAAGCAGGGATGCTTCCAAACCAGACTGTGATGCTGTATGACAGGATGCTCTCGATCGTCCCTCCGTAGAAAGTGGTCAGGACAGGGGAAGGAAGATGTGCTTTTCTTATGCAAGGCAGAAAATGCAGGCGCTGCTGTGCCCGCTTCACCAGTGTCTCACTGTTGAGCGACCAAGCTCAACAGTGAGACACCAATACAGATAGTCCTTGACTTACAACAGTTCATTTAGTGACTGTTCAAAGTTACAACAGCACTGAAAAAAGTGACATAATCATTTTTCACACTTATAACCATTGCAGCATCCCCATGGTCACGTGACCAAAATTCAGATGCTTGGCAACTGACTCACCTTTATGACCGTTTTAGTGTCCTGGGGTCACGTGTTCTGACAGGCAAAGTCAGTGGGGAAGCCAGATTCACTTAACAACCGTGTTACTAACTTCAAAACTGCATGGATTCACTTAACAACAATGGCAAGAAAGATCTCAAATAAGTCGAGGACTACCTGTACAGTCATGTAGAAGTCTGAAAAAAATGGGCTGTTTTAATGAGCAGAAGAGAAAGAGCTGGTCCAAAGCTGCTTTATGGAATAGTTTTCAAAATGTGCGTGCCCTAATATGATGCTCCCATTTTTCCACAGACGTTACTAGGGCATGCCAGACCAATCACAAGACTGCTATAAATTGGAACTATTTTATTAGGTGTAATATTTTTAAAAATATGATGAAGTATATATTTAATGTTGTGTGTATTAATAGCAGTAAGAATGACCTGAAGAAGAGAGGATCAAGAAAATATCGGACTATGTAGACATGGGCGGATCGATATTGAAGGATAAAGAAAAAGAAGACATAGAATAATTTCAAATATAGGATGTAGTTTATCATTGGCCGGAAAAAAAGGGGTAGAGATTAGGAAATTAATGTGTATTGTTAAGTAAAAAAAAATGGACCCAGACAACACGCTGTTTACTAAGCACTTATGATTGGTAAAAATAGAAAATTAATAAAAATATTATATAAAAAAGAGACTCATTGATGACTCACACCTGACCCATCACAAGACCCACACTTGACACACCCACACCTGAAGCCCTTATAAACAGAAGACCACCAACACTGACATCCCCTAAACTAGGCTGAAGATGTTACCTAGCCTGGTAATGAAATGTTTGGAAACCAACCCACGAGTTTGGAGAACAGGCCTTCACCCTCATCCTACACCTGTTGTGATTCCTCGCCAGCCAGTGGACCTGGCAGCGGAGTCTGAGGAATCAGAGGAGGAGGAGGAGGGGCCTGGAGTGACATCAAAGTCAAAGGAAGGCTCTGAGGAGCTCCAAGAATTACAGTCTGATGAGGAGCCTGGCCCCTCTACTCGCACCCAGGCTGAGACACAGCTGTGCTGGGAGCCTGAGTTGGACAGTGATGAAGAACAGCTGGGACAAATCCTGGATGCACAAAAGCGCAGGCAAGAGAAGCGAGTAGGACAGAGGAATGCAATGAGGTGACTCCAAAGGCAAAGGAGAAAGCATTAGGAAAGCTACGCCTTGGCTGCATAATAAAGGGGAAGGTGTGGGAGGTGCTAGTTGCCGAAGGCAACCGTTCGTGTTGAGGAATTGAGTTTCTGTGACCTGTGTTTGTTTGCCTTGGGCATTGACTCAGGTCTGTGAATAATAAAAGGGGTTGGTTTTTCTTGCGATTCCTGCCTTCTTGTTTGGAAGAGGGGATTCTCCTTGTGAGCATAGCAAGGGCTCATGTAGGCTGGGACAGAACAACACACAAGCTACAGATATTCGCCACTATTGCAAACTAATTTTTAAACCGATGGGAGTAGACAAATCCTGGCTCTGTACTCTAGCAGAGCTGAAGAGGCACGTATACCAGAAATCAATCACCAAATCCTGAAGTAATGAATTTTTATTACGGCCTTCAGCCAATCAATAAACCCCACACTTTTCAAAATAAACAAAAATAGCTTAACTAAGTCAGTGTAGTTACACCATCAATGATGTCTTGCCTTTGCAGTGATAACAGTGCTAATCAAAATGGTCTTAGGTATAATACGGGTTTGTGTCTGCGAGACCGTAAGTTACATAAAACAATTCATTTCTTCCTGAGAGTTTCAAAAGGAGGAGATCTACAGCCTTATATCGTAATAAATTATTCTGTTGTGAGGAACACTTGCTACAGTTCTTAGGGTACCAGAATCACAGGAGTATATATACCCCAGACCAGTGTTTTTCAAACATGGCAACTTTAAGATGGGTGGACTTCAGTTCCCAAGAATTCCCTAGCCAGCAAACAGATCTTTTTGAGCCTGAGGTAGTATATTCAGAATAACAGAGTTGGAAAGTATCTTGGAGGTCTTCTAGTCTAACCCCTGCTCAAGCAGGAGACCTTATACCAGGGGTAGGCAACCTTGGCTCTTTTATGACTCGTGGACTTCAACTCCCAGAATTCCCGAGCCAGTTATGCCAGTTATGCTGGCTCAGGAATTCTGGGAGTTGAAGTCCACGAGTCATAAAAGAGCCAAGGTTGCCTACCTCTACCCTATACCAGGGCTTTTCAACCAGTGGTACGGGTACCACCTGTGGTACATTGGCACCTGGCAGGTGGTACGCAACCATCCTAGAAAAGTGGTAGCAAGGGAGGGGAATGAGCTGAACTGGTGGCAGCACCGCACAAGCCTGAGCAAGAAATGACTGGAGCTGCAGGGCTCAGTGGAAGTGCCAGGATCAGTGCCAGGCTGAGCCCTGAAGCACCAATCAGCTGGAAAGCAGCACTGATCTTGGTGCTTCCGCTGAGCCCAGAAGAAGCGCTGATCAGCTGGAATGTTGCAGCATCACCAGGGTCTTGTGATTTACATTCAGATGCCTGGCAACTGATTCATATTTATGACGGTCACAGTGTCCCAGGGTAATGTGAAGTGACCAAAACTTGCTGCAACCACCCAGCAGACGGGGAAAATAAAAACCAAACACCCCCCCACCCCACCCCCACTGCCAATCCTCAACAGAAATGCTCACAACAATGGAAACCTTTGGAGGGAGTTTTTGACACCTTGCTAGGTGACTGGTGGTACTCGGATATTGCCATATCCTAAAAGTGGTAAAATGGGTGAAAAGGTTGAAAAGCCCTATACCATTCCAGACAAATGCCTGTCTAAAACCTCCAGTGATGGAGCATTCACAACTTCTGAAGGCAAAGCCATTTCACTGATGATTATTCTCACTGTCAGGAAATTCCTCCTTAATTCTAGGTCGGTTCCCTCCCTCCCTCCCTCCCTCCCTCCCTCCCTCCCTTCCTTCCTTCCTTCCTTCCTTCCTTCCTTCCTTCCTTCCTTCCTTCCTTCCTCTGTGACAGCCCCTCAAGTACTAGAAGATAGCTATCTCAGCACCCCTGGTCCTTCTCTTCATTAGACTAGGCATAATGAGTTCCCTCAATCATTCATTGTACAGTTTAACCACCAGCCCCCTAATCATCTTTATTACTCTTCTCTGCACTTTTTCTAGAGTTGTAACATCTTTTTTCCAGCTTGGTGACCAGAACTGGACTCAGTATTCCAAGTGTGGTCTTATTAGTGCACTATAAAGCAATGCTGTCCCTTCTCATGATCCTGACACTATCCCTCTGTTGATGCAGCCTAAGATGGTGCTGGCTTTCTGGTTTTTGGTTTCTGTTTGGCTTTTGCTCGATATTGTAAAAACATTGAAGAAGGGACTTCAAGACTTACGTGTAGAACTGATGCCCCTCAGACCATCTCCTACAGCATTCTCGTAAATAGGGAAGACTGAAACCAGATATTCTGTCTGCGGTGTCAAATTGAGGAGCTCTACACTCGAGGTGGCTCCATCCAGAATAACCTGAAAATATACAAGAATATACCAAATATACAACCACTCCGAGTAAAAACCCAGTCCTCAGATCTCCTTCTAGTGGTGGTGGTCCAAAACTTTATTATTTAACTTAAATAGCTTTGATTCTGAAGATGATGCCCGAGAAGAACATGGATAGCCAAGAAAGTAAACAAAATGGATCCCAGAACAAGTCAACCGAGTTCTCACTCAAGGTGCAAATAACCAGGCTCAGACAATTATGCTTTGGACACATTGCTTATGGCTCCTTTGAGAAGCCCGTAAGGGTGTGAACAATTGAATGGAAGAAAAGAAGAGGATGAATAGAAGACAATATTTGTAACTCAGGGTTGAACTGTGGAGTCCTTAATGCTCTCTGAGCTGGGTGACTTTCTTACAGATGTTTCATTATCAAACTAGATAACATCATCAGTACTAGACAGGAGGGAGGAAGGAGGAGGAGAAAGAAAGAGGAGGAGGGAAAAAGAAAGAGGAGGAAGAGGAAGAAGAAGAAGAAGAGGAAGAGGAAGAGGAAGAAGAAGAAGGAGGAGGAGGAGGAGGAGGAGGAGGAGGAGGAGGAGGAGGAGGAGGAGGAGGAGGAGGAGGAGGAGGAGGAGGAGAAGAAGAAGAACTGTGACGTCCTTGGTGCCCTTTGAGCTTGGTGGTTTTCTTGCAGACATTTCTTTACCAAACTAGGTAACATCATCAGTGCCAGCATGAAATGTTGCAAGAAAAACACAAGCTCAGAGAGCATCAAAGGACCCCATAAGAAGAGGATTACCAGCAACAAGAGGGATGAAAATACAGAAGTGTTGAAAAAATTTGGCTGGGACAGATAATTCTGGAGGAAGTTGATCTAGGTCACCTATGATTGATCACTCAGTATCCATTTGGATGGGTCAGCTGAAGATGTCAACCATAAGACAACCTACCTCTTTGGGAATGCCACCTCGAGAAGGATAATAGACCACTCTGTATCTTTGGGGTATTATGACTGGTGAGTTCCAGATGAGATGCATACTTCTGGAAGTGACATCTTTTAATAGGAGATTAGTTGGACTCAAGTGGATCCCGGAATTCGCTGGCATGGTTTTCAAAGGGTCCCCTGCAACATTCAAGCAATGGGCACGATTTTATTTAGGGTTGGGGAAAACTGGATTCCTTCACTTATGTGTTCGCTTTCCTCAACTTATCTACTGCCCCAAATTCACCTATACTCTATGGGTGTACTCTATGGTTGCAGGAACTCGGTATGTCTAGTCCAGGGGTAGGCAACCTTGGCTCTTTTATGACTGGTGGACTTCAACTCCCAGAATTCCTGAGCCAGCCATGCTGAGGGGAAAGGGAGAGGTTTCCAAGCTGAGCCCTGCTGGCTCAGGAATTCTGGGAGCTGAAGTCCACGAGTCATAAAAGAGCCAAGGTTGCCTACCCCTGGTCTAATGAAGAGAAGGACCAGGATATGACACGATAGCGGTCTTCCAATATCTAAGGCAGTGGTTCTCAACCTGTGGGTCGGGACCCCATTTGGGGTCAAACGACCATTTCACGGGGGTCGCCAAACAATGCAGTCCGCCATTTTTTTCCCCTTTTCCTTAGCTGTGCTACTCCCTTTTATTCTATTGGCTTTGGAAAGCCAATAGAATAGACTCTCTTGAATAGAGTCTAAGTCTATTGGCTTTCAAAAGCCAATAGGAATTGTCCAGGCTGTCTCTGCCCTGCTGAGCCCGCCAAAAGCCCCAGTCTGCAAACGGTGCTGCAAGTTGTCTGCAGCGAAGGCGAGCTGTCTGGAAGCTTCCACCCCTCCCTGCTGAGCAACTACTAAAAATGTAAGTAAAAGCAGGCCAGGGGTGGGAGGTGGGAGGCCAGCGGGCACAGAGAGGGTTGCTGGCACGGGTGGGGCCTGGCGGGTGCCTTACCTCCCTTGGGCTGGGCCAGCTGGTGGCCCAGCCGGTGGTCGCCCTACGCCATCGCTGCCCCTTGCCAGTTACACCTTAGCCAGCACAGGGGGCGGCACCATGCATGTGCGGCACTCCCGGGCAGGGAAAATCCTTGACTTACGAGCGGTTGGGTAGTTCTCGACTTACGACCGGTTGAGTAGTCCTCGACTTATGACCGGTTGGGGGTCGCGGCATTAAAAAGATTGAGAACCACTGATCTAAGGGCCTGCCACAAGGAGGGGGGGGGTCAACCTACTCTGCAAAGCACCTGAAGACAGGACAAGAAGCAATGGATGGAAATTAATCAACCTAGAGCTAAGAAGAAATTTCCTGACAGAACAATTAATCAGTGGAACAGCTTGCCTCCAGGTTGTGGGTGCTCCAACACTGGAAGTTTTTAAGAAGAGATTGGACAGCCATTTGTCTGAAATGATATAGGGTTTCCTGCCTGAGCAGGGGGTTGGACTAGATGACCTCCAAGGTCCTTTCCAACTCTGTCTATTCTATTCTGTTCTGTTCTGTTCTGTTCTATTCTAGTCTAGTCTAGTCTGTTCTGTATCTCTATTCTGTTCTATTCTATTCTATTCTATTCTATTCTATTCTATAGCAATGGATGGAAACTAATCAAGGAGAGAGACAACCTGGAACCAAGGAGAAATTTCTTGAACAGTTGGAACAATTAATCAGTGGAATAATTTGCCTCCAGAAGTTGTGGGTGCTCCAGCACTGGAGGTTTTCAAGAAGAGACTAGACAGCCGTGTGTCTGAAATGGTCTACGGTCTCCTGCTTGAGCAGGGGTTGGACTAGAAGACCTTCAAGGCCCCTTTCAACTCTGTTATTCTGTTAAGTCAAAGTGAATCAAAAAATCATCTTGCCCTGAATATGAAATATATAAGTCTGAAGCTGTTTTCTTGTCTTCTAAACTGTCTTTTTCCCATCTACAGTGGATTCCTTGGGCCATTTTGGAGAACGTTTAAACTATTTCAAGCTTGACAGAGTTCCCCAAATGGGTTGAAGTGAACTCATAAAAAAGATTTGACACTTAGCACAAGGCATTTTTAATTTGAAGTGGTTTAAAATGTTCTGGATATGCCTAAGGCAGTGTTTCTCAACCTTGACAATTTTAAGGCATGTGGACTTCAACTCCCAGAATTCCACAGCCAGCATTGCTGGCTGTGGAATTCTGGGAGTTGAAGTCCACATGCCTTAAAATTGTCAAGGTTGAGAAACACTGGCCCTAAGGTAAAGCTGATTAGATGAGTTGACAAATTACGCTGTTCAAACCTAAGGTCTTAGTCAGAGATTAAAACAACGGGAAGAAAAATATACATTTAAAAAAAATCAAAGCAGTAAAGCAAGGTAGCTGCATCTGTTTATCGTCATGGCTATGAATAATACCTATTCACAGCTTGAAGTGAGGCTAAAATATTGGTTAAGAATGGCATCGTGTTTTTCCCCCAGTGAAAAACGACTTCATGTAAATGATAACTTTCTTTATTTCTCTCTTTACATTAGAATTTGATTTCACATCTCCTGCATCAAGAATTGTTCGTAGGCTGCAAAAATGCAAAACGGTTCCCATTTTGGCGCCAGAAATGAAGTTTTTCCGAGAAAAGCGAATCTCATTATTGAAAAATGATCAGGCTATGAAAAGCCACTTTTATTCCTAAACGCATCAATATTAAAAAATATGTGGATTGTACTTCTGCATAAGAGGCCCATAGGGCATTCTTGGGAGGGGGAGGGGTTGTAAATGCATGGCTAAGCCCCACCCCTTTTTATATGCAGCATCATAGCCCCACCCGCCATCTTGACTTTTTTGACCTGGTGCCTCTGGGACCAGCTGAGTGAGTCTACAGGGGGTGAACTCCAAACTCAGGCAGGTAAGGATGTTAAAGAAATGGTGTCAGCCTCACCTATATTCAAGGAAGTCCTTGGTGTCCTCTGAGCTTTTCTTGCAGACATTTCATTACCCAAACTAGGTAACAACATCTAGTCATCTAGCACTGATGAGGTTACCTAGCTGGGTAATGAAACGTCTGCAAGCAACTTACTAAGCTCAGGGAGCAACAAGGACCCCACAAGATAGAAGAAGATAGAAAAATGTGGGGTAGACAGCATCACCACCAGATGGATCTGTAGCTGGCTGACCGGCCGTACTCAGCGTGTGGTCCTCAATAGTACCGCATCTACATGGAGGGAAGTGTGTAGTGGGGTGACCCAGGGCTTTGTTCTGGACCCAATGCTCTTCAACATCTTCATCAATGATCTGGACGAGGGGATAGATGGGGAACTCATCAAATTTGCAGATGACACCAAGCTGGCAGGAATAGCCAACTCTCCAGAAGACAGGCTTAGGATACAGCAGGATCTGGACAGACTTGAACACTGGGTGCTATCTAACAAAATGAAATTCAATGGAATTTCAATGAAATTGAAATTCTACATTGAATTTCAATGAAATTCAATTCTATATTTAGGCAAGAAAAAACCAAATGCACAGGTATAGTATAGGGGGTACCTTGCTCAATAGTAGTAACTGTGAGAGGGACCTCAGAGTCCTAGTGGACAATCACTTAAATATGAGCCAGCCGTGTGCTGCAGCTGCCAAAAAGGCCAACACAGTGCTAGGCTGCATTAACAGAGGGATAGAATCAAGATCACTGAAGTATTAATACCACTTTACAATGCCTTGGTAAGGCCACACTTGGAATACTGCATCCAGTTTTGGTCACTACGATGTAAAAAAGATGTTGAGACTCTAGAAAGAGTGCAGAGAAGAGCAACAAAGATGATTAGGGGACTGGAGGCTAAAACATATAAGGGACGGTTGCTGGAATTGGGTATGTCTCATTTAAAGAAGAGAAGGACGAGGGGGGACATGATAGCAGTGTTCCAATATCTCAGGGGCTGCTCCAAAGAAGAGGAAGTCAAGCTATTTTCCAAAGTGCCTGAAGGCAGGACAAGAAGCAATGGGTGGAAACTAACTAAAGAGAGAAGCAACCTAGAACTAAGGAGAAACTTCCTGACAGTTAGAACTATTAACCAGTGGAACAACCTGCCTCCAGAAGCGGTGAATGCTCCAATGCTGGAAGTTTTTAAGAAGAAACTGGACAGCCATTTGTCCGAAATGGTATAGGGTTTCCTGCCTGAGCAGGGGGTTGGACTAGATGATCTCTAAGGTCCCTTCCAACTTTATCATTATTATTATTATTATTATTCAACCCTGAACTCCAAATATTCTCCTTTATTGGTATCACCTATGTTCTTCTGGTTCTTCTCCTTGATCCAAGCACATAAGATCCAAGTGAGCCGGCTGACCAGAGAACGGAGCAGAGGAAAGTCCACCACATTGTAGACGGTCATCTCAAGGGGTTCGGACGCCACTTGACGCAGCTCTGCTTCATCGGCATTTTTCACCCCTAGAACAAAATCCAAAAAAAGGAACGTGACAATCTGGAGGTATCATGGATGGAAAATGTGATGCCTGCAGGAACCCATCTGGTAGGATGTCTATGGAGATTCTCAATCATCCAGGTCGTGGTTGTCCCAAAGTTGCTTTTCCAAAAGTTTTTTTTCCTTGAAAACATTTCACTTCCCATCCAAGGAGCTTCTTCAAGTTCTTCAGAAACCAGGTTTCCTTGGGAACCCCCCCCCCAAGAAAACCTAGTTGCCTTTTGAAAAAGCACCTTTGGGACATCTAGAAGGGCTGTTTTGATGGGGTGCAGCGGCTGAGAGAGAAGACAATGGATTTAAAAGCTCTGGGAATAAACTCTGATTCTGGCCACCAGCAGCACCTGCTGTCATAAAGGCAAGATGGCGGTTGCAGCGGCCATCTTGCCTTTGGGGCCTACCTCCTTCCCACTTTGGGGTCTACCTCCTTCCCACTGTTGGCCACTTTTCTGTGGAGGGCTTGGCAAGAATAATATCCACCAGTAATACCCCAAATGATTACTGTAAGGCAGGGGTCTTCAAACATGACCCTTTTATGACTTGTGGACTTCAACTCCCAGAATTCCTCAGCCAGGCACGAATTCTGGGAGTTGAAGTCCACAAGTCATAAAAGGACCATGTTTGAAGACCCCCGCTGTAAGGACTATCCTGATCTGGGGCCCCAATCAATCGTCCGTCGGAACCATCCAACCATGACTAGCCCTGATGATGTTAGCTAGTTTGCGTAACGCAACGTCAGCCAGAAAACAAGCAAGCTCAGAGGGCACCAAGGACCCTTCAAATCATCTCACCAGCCATGCTTTTAGGAGAATGCCTCTCCATTTGATACCCATTTTCTCTCAGTTTGGGTTGTGGTTTTGTTTTTTGCAAAAAAATATTCTTGTCCATTGTGTTCAGTTATTATTCCACTTTATTCAATTTCTTCTCATCCTTCTCTTTTCTGCTCCTCTTCTCCTTCTTCTCCATCTCCCTTCCTTCTCCCAGTCCTTCCTTTTCTCCTCCTCCTCCTCCTCCTCCCTGTCATCTTTTCCCTTCCTTTTCCTTCTCTTTCTCCCCTTCTCTTCCTCCTGGTTTTTCCTCTTGTCCATTTCCTCTTCCTCCTCCTCCTCGCCTCCATTTCCTTTCCCTCTTCTTCTCCCCTTCAGCTCCTCCTTTTTCTTCCTCCTCCTCCTTCTCCTCTTCCTCCTCCCCCTCCACCTGTTCCTCCTCGTCTTCCTCCTCTTCCTCGTCTCCATTTCCTTTCCTCTCCTTCTCCTTCAGCTCCTCCTTCTTCCTCCTCCTCCTCTTCCTCCTCCTCCTCTTCCTCCTCCCCTTCCACCTGCTCCTCCTTGTCTTCCTCCTCCTCCTCCTTGACTCCATTTCCTTTCCCTCATTCTCCTTCAGCTCCTTCTTCCTCCTCTTCTTCCTCCTCTTCTTCCTCCTCCTCCTCTTCCTCCTCCCCTTCCACCTGCTCCTCCTCGTCTTCCTCCTCTTCCTCGTCTCCATTTCCTTTCCTCTCCTTCTCCTTCAGCTCCTCCTTCTTCCTCCTCCTCTTCCTCCTCCTCCTCTTCCTCCTCCCCTTCCACCTGCTCCTCCTTGTCTTCCTCCTCCTCCTCCTTGACTCCATTTCCTTTCCCTCCTTCTCCTTCAGCTCCTTCTTCCTCCTCCTCCTCTTCTTCCTCCTCTTCTTCCTCCTCCTCTTCCTCCTCCCCTTCCACCTGCTCCTCCTTGTCTTCCTCCTCCTTGTCTCCATTTCCTTTCCTCTCCTTCTCCTTCAGCTCCTCCTTCTTCCTCCTCCTCCTCTTCCTCCTCCTCCTCTTCTTCCTCCTCCTCTTCATCTCCATTTCCTTTCCCTCTCCTTCTCCTTGAGCTCCTCCTCTTTCTTCCTCTTCCTCCTCTTCTCCTTCTTCTCCTCCTCCTCCTCCTCTTCTTCTTCTTCTTCTTTTTCTTCTTCTTCTTCTCCTTTGTCTTCACTTGTCCCTTCTCCTTCCTTCTTCCTCTCCTCCTCTTCCCTATTTCCATCTTTCTTCCTTCTCCTCCTCCTCCTTCCCCTCTCCATCCTCCATGACCTCCTCTTCCTCCTTCTCTTCTCTTCCTCCTTGTCCTTCTACGTCTCCATCTCTTTCTCCTCTCTCCTCCTTCTCCTCCTCTTCCTCCTCTTCTCTTTCTCCTTCCCTCTTCTCTTTCCTCTTTGTCTTCTCCTCATCCCTTCTCCCCCCCTCCCTTCTCCTCTCCGTCTCCTCCTCCTTTACAACTCTTTTCCCTGGAGATATTTTGTGCTACAGAATTCTCCCTCTTGAATGTGGGTGACTTCTCCACAAGCCACACATTTAAGCACAATCTACGAAAGCCCAATTCCTGCCTTCTCGTGGCATGCTGTGTCCTGAACTCACCAACTCTGTTGTGGCACAAGGGGAAAGCCTGAGTCAAACTCCCTGGCACGAAGGGTTCCCATACCCATAAACAACCCCACTCCGTTTCAGTTCAGCCCAGCAGAATGTGTAAATCTAACACAAGGACCGACTTCATTTAGTAGATTTGATGCCTGTGAAGCCCCTCAATATTTATACCCAACCAGATGTCTTTCAAACCCAAGGGACTACAGTTCACAGCAGTCCAGTCAGCATTCATCATGGCCAATGCAGCCAGGGATAATGGAATCTGTAGTCCAAACTATTTCTGGGAAAAGGCTGGGATATAATAACGGCTTGGCAGGCCAAATATTTCAGCTTGAGTAGAGAGGCAGCACCATCTGGTGGTCAGATCTTGGTATTGACATGAGACAGAATTCTGAAGGTTTGGACCAGTGGTTCTTAACCTGGGCGATATGGCCCCCCAGGGGGTGATTTCGTTTTTCAGGGGGGCGATGGAATGAAAAGAGGTGACGCGGGGGCGAAGGAATGAAAAGGGGGGGGATATGGGGGCGATGGAGCGAGAGGTTTTGGGGACACTTTTGAGACTTTTTTCATACAGTGAATCGCTGTATATCTGTCGTACAAAAACATCAGATCGCTCAATTAGTGGATTGAATTGTGTTTTCAAATGTTCCTCCAGCTAGCTTCAGTACAGAACGCCGTACATATGTGAATACGCATCGCTTATCTTCATGCGCGTTACGCAGCAGCCTCTACTCTTTTTATATTTCTTTTTGCGTCTTAAATTTTACTTGTAATTCAATTATTAAATGTTACTGTTTTTCTTTTCGGGCATTTCACTTTCTTGCCATTGAATTTTGTTTTCAGTGGTCATTACATTTAAGTGTCTTGAATAAATAAATACATGTATCACGAAGTTTGAGAATAAAGTGATGGGTGGCACCAACATTTTTCACACAGTTGAGATATGGGGAAAAGACTGGAAATAAATTATTTGCATCGATATGTCCTGATGACAATTTTAAAGAAAACAAAACAAGTGTTTGCATAAATTGAAGAATTATTTCCTATGTTGTGATTGAGAGGTTATGTTGGGGGAGGGGGGCAATGACAACTTTCTCATTGGCTCAAGGGGGCGATTCGTTCAAAAAGGCTAAGAACCACTGGTTTGGAAGACGTGTGGACGTCAACTCCCAGAGTTCCCCAGGTTGACTCTGGGTCTGGGGGACTCACCAACAGCAAATATCTTGATTCCCATATTCTTCAAGATCTGGGCGGGTGGGCTGGCATCATCCTGAGATTTGCCATCGGTCAAAAGGATGAGCAGTTTAGACGCTTCAGGCCTAGCGCCAACTTCTTCCTTCAGGTTCTGCTCCAGGACGTGAGTCAGCGCTGAACCTTGGATGGAGAAAGAAGGGAAGGGGAAAAATATTATACTTAGAAAGTGTCAGAAGTCAAGTCTTCATCCTGGTTCATCCAAGCCGGGGATAAATAAGCAACATGGCCACTGCTTTAACACTGGACGCCTCCCAGAAGGCAAACTGCTTGTCGTCTCTCTTTAAGTTTGTTTTAAATGGCAGCGCATGCTTCGCGCGCCCAGTTCAGACAGGCTGCTGTCTCCAGGCACTGCCACGTCCACTATCCAGACTTTTTTGTCTTTCTTATTGACAATTGTTAAGTCCGGGGTGTTATGTTGCAGGTGCCAGGGGGTTGGACTAGATGACCTCCAAGGTCCTTCCAACTTTATTATTATTGTTGTTGTTGTTGTTTTGTTGTTACTACTACTACTACTACTACCACTACTATTATTATTATTATTATTATTATATTAACAATAATAAATCAAATCGTGTTTTGGACAGTTTATCAAGACCTCCCTCTTTGGAGAAAGCTCTAATGCGGGTAAATGTGAAAGAAAAGAGAAAAAATAAAATGACAGCAGCCAGCTGGAAGGTTACACCGAGGTGAGCGCAGCAGTTAGGGTGCAGTACTGCAGGCCACTTTAGCTGACTGTGTTCAGCAGGTCAGCGGTTCAAATCTCACCGGCTCAAGGTTGACTCAGCCTTCCATCCTTTCGGGGTAGGTAAAATGAGGACCCAGATTGTTGGGGGCAATGTAAATATATATATACATTGCTTACTGGTGTACACCGCTTAGAGAGTGCTTGCACTTAAAGCGGTATATAAGTCTCATAAATAAATAAATAAATAAAAGTCCTGAAAGTGCAGATTGGAGACAGATTGTCATGGGGAAAAAATATATATGTTTGCTAAGAATTGACAATGACTTGATGGCACCTAATCAATCAATCATTCAATCAATCAATCAGTGACAAAGGACTGTTTCATGTTTGCAATAGTGGGTTGTTCAAGATCCCTCCCTAGAAATATATTTGCTCCGCAGTTCACACCGTTTTTAATGCTACCCTCACAGCTCAAATTCTGCCAAAGTTCTCAACATGATATACCGTAACTAAGGATTTTGTGTGTGTGTGTGTGTATGTGTTAGGATGTAGTCTATGGTACGTTGGGATACAGATGATAGCCAAATGCCCACAGTTGGTAGAGATGCTTCTTATACCAGCCACAGTACATATTTCACTCTTGCTTTTTCCTGCTTGCCTTGTGGTTAAGCCAGGCGTCTTCAAACTTGGCCCTTTTATGACTTGTGGACTTCAACTCCCAGAGTTCCTCAGTGTTTATGGGAAGACAGAAAAGTGGCCAACAGCAGTGTTTATGGGAAGACGGTAGGTCGGAAAGGCAAGATGGCTATCTTGCCTTTCCGACCTACCGTCTTCCCATAAACACTGCTGTTGGCCACTTTTCTGTGGAGGCCTTGGCAAGAATAATATCCAACAGTAATACCCCAAATGATTACTGTAAGGCAGGGGTCTTCAAACTTGGCCCTTTTATGACTTGTGGACTTCAACTCCCAGAATTCCTCAGCCAGGCATGGTCGTGGTTGTCCCAAAGGTGCTTTTCCAAAAGGCAACTGGATTTCCTTGCTTTTTTTTACTTGAAAACATTTCACTTCCCATCCAAGAAGCTTCTTCAAGTTCTTCAGAAACCAGGTTTTCTTGGGAACCCCTCCCCCCCACAAGAAAAGCCAGTTGCCTTTTGAAAAAGCACCTTTGGGACATCTAGAAGGGCCGTTTTGATGGGGTGCAGCAGCTGAGAGAGAAGACAATGGATTTAAAAGCTCTGGGAATAAACTCTGATTCTGGCCACCAGCAGCATCTGCTGTCATAAAGGCAAGATGGCAGTTGCAGCGGCCATCTTGCCTTTGGGGCCTACCTGCTTCCCACTTTGGGGTCTACCTCCTTCCCACTGTTGGCCACTTTTCTGTGGAGGGCTTGGCAAGAATAGTATCCACCAGTAATACCCCAAATGATTACTGTAAGGCAGGGGACTTCAAACTTGTGCCTGGCTGAGGAATTCTGGGAGTTGAAGTCCACAAGTCATAAAAGGGCCAAGTTTGAAGACACACACACACACACACACACACACCCCGTGGGTTAAGCAGTTATTTTGCCTTATGGTGCTGCCCTGGAGCGAAATAACGGTTGGGCGTTGACATAACTAGTTCCCAGTTATTGACATAACTCATTCCTAGTTATGTCAACATCCAATCGTTCCTAGTCCTCCACCTTCGCCACCACCACCTCATGGGGAATATCCATCTACTGCTTCCAGAAAGTTCAGGTAATTCATTTACCTGTAAAAGTGTTCCCTCCCTTGTAGCGCAAATTCCGAATGGCTTCGGACACCTGATCCCAGGTGGAATAAGTATTCAGATCCCACTCTGTCCGTGGGTCACTGCTGTACTGGGACAAGCCTGGAAGAAATGTTAAGGAGAAGGAGTCAGAAAGGAAGCTCGTGTTTTCCATTTATTTATTTATTTTGTTCTACTTGTTTTTTCTTTTTTCATTTCGCTGCAGGTTAGGCCCTTTCCTTGTCTTTCACTTTTTCTTTTAAATAATAATAATAATAATAATAATAATCTGCTTTCCCAGCTATTTTTTTCATGTATTGGCCATGTAGTGCTTTGTCTTCCCATGCCTCTATTCTGTTCTTCATTTGGTCTTTCCTGTAGGCCAGTTTGGTCTCTCCAGTAGTTAGTAAGCCTTCCTGATATACTAATTTCAGTGCATCTTCATCATTGTTCTTCAGATATTCTTCCAAAGCCATTTTTTCTTCTTCAACCATCTGATGTACTTGTAGCATTCCACGCCCACCTATTTGCCTTGGTAGATAAAGTCTATCAATGTCACTGCGTGGATGAAGGGCATGATTCATTGTCATTATTTTTCTGGTCTGCCTATCCATTGCTTTTAGTTCTGCTTGAGTCCAGTCCACTATTCCAGCTGTGTACCTAATGACTGGGATTGCCCAGGTGTTGATTGCCTTTATGGTATTTCCTCCATTGAGTTTGGATTTTAAGATCTTCTTCACTCTCTTGATGTATTCACCTCTAATCTTTTTCTTGACTTCAGTGTGCTTGATGTTGTCAGCTTGAAGGATACCCAAGTATTTGTAGTACTCTTCCTCATCCAGACTCTTAATGTTATTTTCGTGGGGCATCTTGATTCCTTCAGTTTTCACTATTTTTCCTTGTTTGATAGTAAGTGTGGCACATTTGTCCAAGCCAAACTCCATTACAATATCTTGGCTATATATACGGACAGTGTTGAGCAGCGATTCTATTTCAGATGATGTTTTTCCATACAGCTTCAGATCATCCATGTAAAGGAGGTGGGATAGTCTGGCAGATGTTTTTGATGTTTGATAGCCATGTCCTGAGTTATTCAGTATTGTTGACAGAGGAAACAGTGCAATAACAAATAGTAATGGTGATAATGAATCTCCTTGAAATATTCCTCTCTTGATATTAACCTCTCCCAGCTTCTCACCATTGATCTGCAACTGTGTCTTCCATTGTGCCATCGATCTTTGCACAAATTTTCTGATGTTTCTACTGACTCCTGTTATTTCTAGGCACTTTATTATCCAATCATGTGGCAGAGAGTCAAATGCCTTTTTGTAGTCAATCCATGCCACATTCAGGTTGGTCTTCCTTCTCTTGCAGTTTTCCAAGATCATTTTGTCTATTAGGAGTTGATCTTTTGTTCCTCTGCTATTGGGGCGGTTTCCTTTCTGCTCAGGTGGAAAGAGATTGTTTTCAACTAGATGCTGTTGTACTGCATCAGCTACCACACCAGTTAGTAATTTGAAAGTTGTTGGTAAGCAGGTAATTGGCCTGTAGTTACCTGGTGTTGCCCCTTTTGCTGGATTTTTCATTATTAGGTAGGTTTTCCCAGTTGTTAGCCACTTTTCAATTTCTCCTCCTTGTAGTATATTGTTGAACTGTTTGGCAATGAGTGGGTGTATAACAGTTAGATGTTTCAACCAAAACCCATGCAGTTCATCTTCACCTGGTGCTGACCAATTTTTGATTTTCTTTGCTCTTTTTTCTACCATTTTTGTTGTTATTACTAGTTCTTTCATTTCAACTTCTGTTTTATTTGCATCCACCTCTTTTAACCAAGCCGCATCCTTGTTGTATTTCTTTGGGTTATCCCATATCTGCTTCCAGAACTGCACTGTTTCTTCCTTGTCAGGTACTGACTGATTCCTTGCAGTTTCTCCATTGATGGATTGGTAGAAACGTTTCTGATTGGATTGAAATTGGAGGTTCTGCCTATAGTTTGCAATTCGAGCTTCATATCTACTGATTTTCCTGGCTATAGCTGTTATTTGTTGCTTTATTATTTCCAGTGCTTCCTTGATCTTCCTTGTTTCTAAGTGGTATTTCTTGATTAGGTATTCTTTGGTCTTCTTGTTCTTCAGCTTCTTTTCTTTCATCTGTTCTAGCTTGCTTGCATGTGATCTTAACTTGCTGATCTTATTTTCTAGTCTAACCTTCCATTTTTGTGGTGCACTGTTTGTTTGTTTTTCTTCTTTGTTGATTTTGCATCCCAGGTATTCTGTTATAACTGCAGCTGTGCTGTACATTAGTTGGTTTGTTTCTTGCAGTGAATTGGTGCTTATACTTGCTATTGCAGTATTTGCATCTTTTAATGCTTGTGCTAGCTGTTTCTTTGAAACAAGCTTCAATGCAGAATAGAAGAGAAAGAACTGGAGAAGATAACAAAATACCAAGACCTACAAATAGAAATAGAAAGACTGTGGCAAAAGCAAGCAAGGGTAGTACCAATAGTAATAGGCTCCTTGGGTGCAATCCCAAAACAACTGGAGCACCAGTTGAACACCATTGGCATTGACAAATTCGCTATTAGTCAATTGCAAAAGGCAGCCTTATTAGGAACTGCTTCCATCCTGCGACGATATCTGTAACACCATCAAACATCCACATCTGCCTATCCCAGGTCCTGGGTAAGGACTCGATAGGTAGACAAAATGCCAAATCCAGTCTGAACATCTGGCTGACTGTGCGATGATCCATAATAATAATAATAATAATAAAGTTGGAAGGGACCTTGGAGGTCATCTAGTCCAACCTCCTGCTCAGGCAGGAAACCCTACACCATTTTGGACAAATGGCTGTCCAGTCTCTTAAAAACTTCCAGTGTTGGAGCATTCAAAGCTTCTGGAGGCAGGTTGTTCCACTGGTTAATTGTTCTAACTTTCAGGAAGTTTCTCCTTAGTTCTAGGTTGCTTCTCTCCTTGATTAGTTTCCATCCGTTGCTTCTTGTCCTGCCTTCGGGTGCTTTGGAGAAGAGCTTGACTCCTTCTTCTTTGGGGCAGCCCCTCAGATACTGAAAGACTGCTATCATGTCCCCCCTCGTCGTTCTCTTCATTAAACTAGACATACCCAATTCCAGCAACCGTTCCTTATATGTTTTAGCCTCCAGTCCCCTAATCATCTTTGTTGGTCTTCTCTGTACTCTTTCTAGAGTCTCAACATCTTTTTTACGTCGTGGTGACCAAAACTGGATGCAGTATTCCAAGTGTGGCCTTACTAAGGCCTTGTAAAGTGGTATTAATACTTCACGTGATCTTGATTCTATCCCTCTGTTAATGCAGCCCAGCACTGTGCTGGCTTTTTTAGCAGCTGCAGCACACAGTTGGCTCATATTTAAATGATTGTCCACTAGGACTCCAAGGTCCCTCTCACAGTTACTACTATTGAGCAAGGTAACCCCTATATTATATTAGAGATATTGGAATACTGCTATCATGTCCCCCCTCATCCTTCTCTTTGTTAAACTAAATATACCCAATTCCAGCAACTGTTCCTCATATGCTTTGGCCTCCAGTCCCCTAATCATCTTTGTTGCTCTTCTCTGTCCTCTGTGTAATTTGTATGAACATTTGCTATGTTTGTTACAAAAATAAATCAATAAAATTATTTTCCCCCTTTTTTTTCCTGCACTTTTTTCAGTTTAGTTTATATCAGTTTCTACTTTGTCAAGAAAATCAAGAAAATCATTTTTAAAATTCTGCTGTTTCGTTTTTTTCCCACGGCGTTTTTTTTACTTTTCTAGTTTAGTTTATTTGAGTTTTTTTGTTAATTAAAATTTCAATACAATTGTTTTTTTTTTCAAACAAAATTCTTTCTTCTACTTTTTTCTCTTTTTTCTCTCACTGTTTTCTTTCTGGTTTAGTTTGTATTACTTTTGCTATGTTTATTAAAATGTCAATAAAATAATTTATTTCTTTTCAGTGCACTTTTTGCCTTTTTCTTTTCCTTTTTTTCAACTGAGATTTTAGTATGGCTATTAAACATTTCAGTAAAATTATTTAAAAAAGAAGAAGAAGAAGCAATCTGGGTCATCCATGGAGGATGTAAAATAGCAACAAGAATTGTTCTTGAAGTCTTTGAACAGCTGCTTCTTCTCCTAAGTTTTTTCTATTGTCGCAACTTTTTCTTGAGATGCAGTTACCAATGAATTCATTGCTATCCTAACAGCGCAAAAAATGAGTTTAAGATTCCAAAGAATCTCTGCTGCTGCTTCCTTTGATTGGTAGAAAACATTACTTTTTCCAAAACATCATTCCTGGATTTGAAGCCTGTAAAAAGAAGCTGCTCACCTACTCTGATCTTATCCTCAGCAATATTGAAAGGCGCCAGCAAAGACACCAGGAATTCTCGAAGCAGTCCAAAATTGTTGCGTCCAATACTCCAAGATCCATCCACCAGCAGGATGATATCCGTCATAGCAGAGGTATCACACTGGAACTGGGAAACTATGAAAAGAAGCAGAGTCAGGGAGGAGGAGGGGGGGAAGAAAGGAGGAGGAGGAGGAAAAGGAGGGGAAAGGAAGAAAGGAGGAGGAAGAGAAGAAAAGAGTGGAGGAGGAGGGGAAAGGAGAAGAAGGAGAAGAAGAAGAAGAAGAAGAAGAAGAAGAAGAAGAAGAAGAAGAAGAAGAAGAAGAAGAAGAAGAAGAAGAAGAAGAAGAAGAAGAAGAAGAAGAAGAAGAAGAAGAAGAAGAAGAAGAAGAAGAAGAAGAAGAAGAAGAAGAAGAAGAAGAGGAAAAGGAAAGAGGAGGAGGAGGAGGAGGAGGAGGAAGAAGAAGAAGAAGAAGAGGAAGAAGGAGGAGGAGGAGGAGGAGGAGGAGGAGAAAGAGAAGAAGGAGGAGGAGGAGAAGGAGGAGAAAGAAGAAGAAGAAGAAGAAGAAGAAGAAGAAGAAGAAGAAGAAGAAGAAGAAGAAGAAGAAGAAGAAGAAGAAGAGGAGGAGGAGGAGGAGGAGGAGGAGGAGGAGGAGAAAGGAGGAAGAAGAAGAGGAAGAGGAAGAAGAAGAAGGGGAAGAGGAGGAGAGGAGAAGAGAAGAAGGAGGAAAAGGAGGAGGAGGAGGAGGAGAAGGAGGAGAAGGAGGAGGAGGAGGAGGAGAAGAAGAAGAAGAAGAAGAAGAAGAAGAAGAAGAAGAAGAAGAAGAAGAAGAAGAAGAAGAAGAAGAAGAAGAAGAAGAAGAAGAAGAAGAAGAAGAAGAAGAAGAAGAAGAGGAGATGAACGTGCATGTCTAGCTTAATTGTTTAAAAATATAGCTGAAATGTCTACAGCATTAAAAGGAGAGAACTTATTCTGAAATTATTCGTGAGGATTCAAACACCAGGTCCAAAATACAGGTAATCCTCAACTTAATGACCACAAATGATTTCCGTTGCTAAGAAAGGTAATGGAATGATGAAGGCGTACTCAATTTTGTGTCCTTTTTTGCCATGGTCGCTAAGCAAATCACTGCAATTGTTAAGTGAATCCAGATCCCCCCCCATTGACTTTGCTTGTCAAAAGCCAACTTGGGAGGTCACAAAAAAGGTGATCCCAGGACCTCAGGATGCTGCACTCACTGAAAATACATGCCGGTTGCCAAGGACTCAATTTTTGACCCCTTGACTGTCGGGATGCTGCCACAGTCATAAGTACGAGGACCAGTCATAAGTCACTTTTTTTCAATGCTGCCATAACTTTGCACAATCACTGCATGAATGGTTCAGTCAAGGACTGAAAAAAAAATGCTGACTTTGATAGGTGATCCATTTTTGTATTTCTGTTATCTTTTCTTCAGGAAAGAAAAAGCAGAGGGATGGGATAAAGTGTATGACTGGGGGGTGAAAACTGCCTCTTTATAATGTGGTTGGCATTATTTAAAAAAGGGCGGGGCTTTGATTGCCCAACTGCACCCACCATTTTGATTCCCCTTCTGTAAAAACCCTTTGTTGTTAGTTGCGAAGTCGTGTCCGACCCATTGCAACCCCATGGACAACATTCCTCCAGGCCTTCCTGTCCTCTACCATCTTCTGGAGTCCATCTAAGACAGGGGTAGTCAACCTTGGCTCTTTTATGATCGTGGACTTCAACTCCCAGAATTCCTGAGCCAGCTAAGCTAGACTACCCCTGATCTAAGCTCACGCCTGCTGCTACAGTGACTCCATCCAGCCACCTCATTCTCTGTCGTCCCCTTCTTCTCTTGCCCTCCATCTTTCCCAGGATTAGGCTCTTCTCCAGTGAGTCCTTCCTTCTCATTAGGTGGCCAAAGTACTTGAGTTTCCACTTCAGGATCTGGCCTTCTAAAAAGCAGTCTGGCTCTAACTAACTAGAAAATGAGGACCTCCAGAACATTTATTTTTTTTCTTTCTGAAGGGTGATTGACAACTATTTTAGACTTCTTTCAGATGAGCCTTGGAAGGACACAATTGCTGGAAAGCATGGGCTCATTAAAGCAGCTGCCTCTTTAACTGGATCCATTAAAAGCAGCCCTATCTGCTTCTCCAGGTTGTCTTTTGGGAACACGATCCTGCCCGTATGCCAGGATTACATCAGCGTTCCAATCTATTTCCACCCTGGTTTTTTTCCCCTTAGAAAGGGAACGACATCCCATCATGCAAAATTAACACGTATTGGCTGTCTCTTCAGGCTAAAATATCTCCCCGATCTCTCCAGGTCAGATCCCATCACAAAATATGCCTTTCAAATTTGTGCATCTCACTGTCTCTAATGTGGGGCATTCATCTTTTTTTTTTCAGTTGTCATATGTAATAAGGTTAAAATTGGTGCCTGGACCTAGGAATTAAATGCATTTACTGGAAGAGCTTTGTACAGATGTCACTGTGTCTCTTTTTTTAATATCTGAGCCCTCTACCACTAGAAATATATGATATAACACTGCAAATATGATTGTTTTATCTGCAGGATTAGCTTCCGTGCAACAGCCCTTCCCCCTCCACACACACACACACACACACACACAGAGGGGGGAGGAGAGAGAGAGAGAGAGAGAGAGAAACCCCAAAAGTTCATGATGGATCCCACTCATAGTTTTAAGTGCACAACAGATGGTTAAAAAGTGATTATCTCCCGAGTCAGAACAAGTTTAACATGTGCCAAATTCCAGATTTTCCACGTTCACTGCCAAGGTGCTTGGAGAAAACTCAGTCCACCAATGGTGTCTGAGTGTTGTCATTTGTGTTAAGAAAATTGTGTCTTTTGGCTAGGTAGTTTATTTCTGCACAAAAAAAATCAAGTGTCTATAGATATTCTTAGTCATCCAGGTCATAGTTGAAAAGAAAAGAGGAGGGGTGTGGCAGGCGGGACAGGGCTGTATAAAGAAGGGAATATTTTGGGTTGAAACTTTGGAGAGAACCAAGTTTTGATAGCTTCTCTCCCCGCTTATTGCAATAAATGAAACCAAAGGCCTTCACTGTGTCTTGGCTGGTTATTGGCCAGGCGAGCTTGCCTCAGGTCACGAAGGAAAGTAGCCAGGAGCACATAACAGCCTGACACAGTGATAGCGAACCTTTTAGAGACCGAGTGCCCAAACCGCAATGCAAAACCCACTTATTTATCACAAAGTGCCAGGGCTGCATCAGCATTGTGGTGCCCTTGGAGGAGGGGGCAGGGAGACGCCTCTGAGTGCCACCTCTAGCACGCAAAAACCAGGGGCACAAAAATGGGCCACCATGCTGCAAGGCACAAAAATGGCTGCCACCGCACCACAGGGGGGAGATACAAGGCACTGCACCATGCAAAAGCGGGGCAGGGCTAGTGAGTATTACGCAGGCACTAGCCCTGCCCATTTGCAGCGCATGCGGGCTCACGGCCTCATGCGTGCATGCACGCATGTAAAATGCTTCCCCCTCCCTTTTCTTCCAGTCCACCAATTGACAATGGTTGGTGACCTCTGCTCTACCACCTCTACTCAAGCTTGCTAGTCGGCTGCTTTGCTCCTTTGTGCTGGGTGGGGCTCCTGCTCTGGGCAACGGTGGCGGTCTGATGGACCTGCTGCTGGCAGCAGTGGAACGCATGCCAACAGAGAGGGCTCTGAGTGCTGCCTCTGGCACCGGTGTCATAGGTTCGCCACCACTGGCTTGACATATGATTAGCTGATAAGGCAATTAGGAGAACCAAAGCTTTTTTTTGATGATGACCAAGCAGCCAACAGAGGCTGTGAAACTTTGCAGAAAGAGTGGTGCTAACAGTGTCTCTGCGAAAGATATCTCACCTTTCCTGAAGCTGTCGCTGCTCGTTTTCCTTCGGGCCAGAAAATCCTCTTCAAACTCTATTACACTTGGCAAGGTTGACAGTGTCAATGTTGGCTCGGCGTTGAGCATATAATCATCTGGCTTCAAAAGAGGAGTGTTTTGCCTTTTCTTCCCTGGCTCAACTTTTCCTATATTTTAGATCATCAAGAGAAGGAACATTAATCTTGAATCTACGTGTTCATTCAAAGAGATTCAGCCTTAGAATCATGGAATCATTAGGATGGAACGGACATCAGAGGTCTTCTAGTCCACTACCTTCTCAAGGCAGGAGTATTTATTGTTAGAAATTCTTTTTTTTTTTTTTTGTAAAAAATTTTTATTTTCAATTTTGCAATACAATACAATCTTAAAAATACTTCAGATAAAAAATAAAACAAATTAATACACACCATTTTCAGTATTGCTCACCCATTTCCCCCCAAACCGCATCCACCCTCTAACCAACTTGCCTCTTTCCCTCTTCTTTCTCTTTCTCCCTCATCCCCTCTCCTCCACCTTCCTACTTACTTCTCACCTTCTTCTATCCTCTCACTCCGGATGCAGTCCGGGGGAAATGCCCAAGCAATTCCTCTCTCCAAATTGAAACCTCAATATTATATACAATAAAAACTATTTCTACTTATCTGAATTACTAAAATTTCAACCCATCCTTCCCCCACCCCCCTCCCCCCCTGACTTCCCAGAGCTAAGTACAGGGTTATACAAATATACTAAACATAATCTATTTAAGTTTACTAATTATACAAAAACCAAAATCATACTAACCCTTAACTCTCTTCAAACTTTAACATCATAAGTTTATAAACAAATTTATTACTCATAAAATAAATGAAACTTTGTAGTTCCATACTTCTTCTGAACATATTCTATCCATCTTCTCCATACATACTATTGTTAGAAATTCTGTTTATATATAGCACCACAGAGCAAACAAAGGGTACAGTCACCATGTGCTCTACTGCTCAACTGTTATAACTCTAACAGGAAACAGGAAACTCTACTTGATCACCAATCCTAATCCCAACCCCACTTTAAACCTTAATCCTTATCCTGATCCTATTCTATCCCCAACCCTATAAGACTCAATAAAAAAAAAAATTTTTTTTAAGGAATGGGGCTGAATAGGAAACGGTTCTTTATCTTCATGAGCTCAACCCTCTTTCCCATATGCCCCCTCCCGTGACTCCTGCTCGTACCTATCAAAGTTGAAGTTACATCCAGTGTGGGTGAAGTGGCTTCAACTGCGAGGATTCCTCCCTTCTCCGGCATACTGGTGGGGTGCTTCCTGTGGCTTCTGGCCTGGGACTGGTTTTTCAGTTCTTCGACTGTAACAGCCAAAATGAGATGAAAATGGAGACAGTCCAGAGATCAAGCAGATCAGGTGGATGTCCTGACTTACCCTGTCAGTGTTGGTGGGAGTGTTCTTGGCAGTTTATTGACAAACAAACAAACAATAAACAACAGCCTGATCAAGGAATCAGCAAGAACATCCCAACCAACACTGACAGAGCAAACCTCTAATTCAGTGGTTCTCAACCTGTGGGTCGGGACCCCATTTGGGGTCGAACGACCATTTCACGGGGGTCGCCAAACAACGCAGTCTGCCATTTTTTCCCCCTGTTCCTTAGCTGTGCTACTCCCTTTTATTCTATTGGCTTTTGAAAGCCAATAGAATAGACTCTCTTGAATAGAGTCTAATTCTATTGGCTTTCAAAAGCCAATAGGAATTGTCCAGGCTGTCTCTGCCCTGCTGAGCCTGCCAAAAGTCCCATTCTGCAAACGGTGCTGCACAGTTGAGAAGTCCTTGACTTACGACCGGTTGAGTAGTCCTCGACTTACGACCGGTTGGGGGTCGCGGCATTAAAAAGGTTGAGAACCACTGCTTTAGTTAGTATATGAACAGGGTTAATCCAATCCCACTCCCTTCCAGCACTGATGATGTTACCTAGTTGGGTAATGAAACATCTGCAAGAAAACAACTAAGCTCAGATCACATTAAGGTCCACACAACCCTCCTCATCCTCCTCCTCCTCCCTACAAACACTACTGCTTTCTAGCACTGATGATGTTACCTAGTTGGATAATGAAACATCTAGAAGAAAACAACTTCGTTCAGATCACATCAAGGTCTGCACAATCCTCCTCCTCCTTCTCCCCAACTCCCTTCTACCACTGATGATGTTACATAGTTGGGTAATGAAATGTCTGCAAGAAAACAACCAAGCTCAGATTGCACCAAGGACCCCATAGCAAGCCCTGAACACCTACAAAGCCAGCCAGGCCAACAGTAAACTACACGTACCAGAAGGAAGCAGAAACCGCACTTACTCACAAATTTCCTCTTGACAAAGAGGGCCTCCTGGGAGCCATTAAGGATGTAGATCTGCAGAGTGTATTCTTTGGTGGGACTCAGCCCACCCACAGTTGCTTTTGCCATCTTGGTTTTCAACATCACTTCCTGTTCAGGGTCACCTACAATAGGTGGAGGACAGGAACAAGAAAACAAGGTCACCAAGACCCTAGCACCATGGTGGCGAACCTATGGCATGGGTGCCACAGGTGGCATGCAGAGCCCGCTCTGTGGGCACGTGCGCCATCGCCCCAATCCTAGGCCTTCAGTTGGGTTTTATAAAACCTTTTTGCTTTAGGCCTCCACTGCCATGTGTAAAAAAAAAAAGGTTCAATCAATCAATAAATTTCAACTTCTCGCGGGAAAGAAAAAGATCTTGCAAAGTTGGAATTGATTGAACTTTTTAGTCCCACCCAGTCTGCTATTACCACCCCAGACACGCCCACCCAATGGGCCACGCCCATCCAATAGGCCATGCCCGCCTGGCACCCGACGATGCATAAGTGGGTTTTGGGTTGCAGTTTGGGCACTCGGTCTCTAAAGGTTCGCCATCACTGCCCTAGCAGTAGCTCAAACATCCATCAGGAATTTGCAAAACAGTACTTTACATGTCAGGGCCTCAGATCAAAGTCCTCGACTTACTAGCAGTTGCTTAACGACCACTTGGATTTACAATGGAGACAGAATGGGTACTTTACAGCCGGTAAAGCAAGCACACACATACACATATACACACACACACTCACACAAACACACATACACACAACCAGCCATTGTAAAAGATCACACTGCCCTCCTTCCCTCCTTTCATGTAAATTATTTCATGTGATCACGGAATGGGGCAACTGGCTGTCAAAGCAAACTGGTGGCCAAGTGCCAAAATGCAATCACACAGGGTTTGTGTGTGTGCCCATGTGTGTGTGTCTGTGTGCCACCATCGGAACCCCAGAATCAGGCTGTAAGTATGTTTTGGATGTCTATTATAACTTCAAACAGTTGCTAAGCCACTGTTGGTTAAGTGTGGACAACCCGTAGACACCATGAATCCATCCCAAACTAGTACTGTATCATATTTTCTGACTAAATAATTTTATTAAAAGGCATAAGCGTCCATGAGCTCGTTAAAGTCTATGCCATTTAATACAATTTGTCAATTGGAGTAGATAGAACATAGAATAACATGGAAGGGACTTTGAAGGTCTTCTAGTCCAACCCCCTGCTCAAGCAGGAGACCCTATACCATTTCAGACAAATGGCTGTCCTGTCTCTTCTTGAAAATTTCCACAATTTCCTGAGGCAAGCAATTCCACTGATTAATTGTTCTCACTGTCAGGAAATTTCTCTTTTGTTCTAGGTTGTTCTAGATTCCTTCTGATTTTTGCTTGTCATAGACTAAAATGTCTCTCTTCCCGCTATGAATCTATCTCGTATCTATACAATCTTCCTTCAATATTTCTATGTCACTGAGAACAATTACTGCTTTCCTAGTTTATAGATTCAGAGAGAACAAGTTTTCCAAACAATTGCAAATCGGCAAATTATAAGAAAAATGGGATGGGATGTGAGACTTGCCTGTTCCAGAAACTCTGTAGCTAGTCTAAAATTAAATCTGGTGACCATTTGACTTAGAATTAAATTAAATAGAGGCATACTCTGTCTTCATTCTCCTTGTATAATTCAGCTTTGTGTGTAAACTATGAGGGCCTTTCACTGCTTTGTCAGTTCCTAATGTGTTATTGGTTGGTTAACCAACTAGAATTAAATTTCACATCGAATCTGCTTCATAGGAAAGCTACAGCCACCCTCAGGGACATAACCAGAGTAGGTTTAGATCTGATTTTGCACATCTGTAATTGGCTTAAGAATCCAGAATGATATCTCTGCATATTTTCCAAATGTATCTGAATTAAAGATAAAAAGAGATAACAGTCTGTTTAGATTTATCGAAGGTCAGATGTGGAATCAGAGATCTGAAATGAGAATTTAACTATGAATGCTAATTTTATTCTAAAAGGAAGTTCAACGTTTTTTTTTTAAATAAAGATGGCCACAAGAAAAGTGTTTTGTTATTAAGGTGACCAACTTTTTTACAATAAAAAAGAGGACACAAATAAATTGAAGAAAAAATATTGTAAATAAAAGAAACATTTTATCCATTGCAACAATAATACAGACAACTTGCATGTGCAAAGTTTGCCAGCTGGGTGTTTTGGCGTGCTCAGCAACAATTCCTATTGGCTTTCGAAAGCCAATAGGGGGAGTAGCACAGTTCATGCAAAAGTTGAAAAAAAAACCATCAAAAAAAGGTGCCGGAACACCGTTCTGAGCGTTCTATGAGGGAAAAAAAAGTCCTGCAGATTAGTCTTCAAATATCAAAAAGGAGGACATGAAGGAGGACACTTTTTGAGGGAGGACAGAACTTACAAAAGGAGGACTGTCCTTCCTAAAGGAGGACGGTTGGTCACCTTATTGTTATAAATATTCACTTATCTAGCTGTTCATTCTTTAAAATCAGATTTTCATTGCTGGATAATTGTGCAATTTTAAAAAAAACTTTGTGTCTATTCCTCTCATTCCCTTAGGTATTTTGTATGTCCTTTGACGGTGTTTCCCAACTGTAGCAGTTTTAAGATGGTTGAACTTCAACTCCCAGAATTCCACAGATGGTTGGGGAATTCTGGGAGTTGAAGTCCACCCTTCTTCAAGTTGCCAAGGCTGAAAAACGCACGGTTCTCTTTAAGCAGAGGATGGTAGGTGGAACATTGCAATGGAAGCTCCACCCCTTTAGTGCATACAGGAAAGAAAGGGGTGAGGCTGTGGTTTTGGTGCTACCCAAGCCTTGCCTCTTTTGTGTGGGTGTCACCCTGGTTTTTCGGCTGAGGAGGAAGGATTGGCTCAAAGTCCCACCAAGAAGCTTCCCTGGTTGAAGGAGATCTAGAACAGCGGTTCTCAACCTAGGGGTCGCAACCCCATTTGGGATCAAATGACCATTTCACGGGGGTCGCCAAACAACGCAGTCCGCCATTTTTTCCCCCTTTTCCTTAGCTGTGCTATTCCCTTTTATTCTATTGGCTTTTGAAAGCCAATAGGAATTGTCCAGCCTGTCTCTACCCTGCTGAGCCCGCCAAAAATTCCATTCTGCAAACGGTGTTGCAAGTTGTCTGCAACGAAGGTGAGCTGTCTGGAAGTTTCCACCCCTCCCTGCTGAGCAACTACTAAAAATGTAAGTAAAAGAGGGCCAGGGGTGGGAGGTGGGAGGCTGGTGGGCACAGGGAGGGTTGCTGGCGCGCGTGGGGCCTGGCGGGTGCCTTACCTCCCTTGGGCTGGGCCAGCTGGTGGCCCAGCCGGTGGTCGGCCTGCTCCGTCTCTGCCACTTGCCAGCTACACCTCGGTCAGTGCAGGAGGCGGCACCACGCATGCGCAGTGCTCCCGGGCAGGGAAAGTCCTCGACTTACGACCAGTTGGGTAGTCCTCGACTTACGACTGGTTGGGTAGTCCTCGACTTACAACCGGTTGGGGGTCGCGGCATTAAAAAAGTTGAGAACCACTGATCTAGAACCTAGGCCTTAACACTCCTAGTCCCGCACTTTCAGTTTTGGACCACACGAGAAATAAATCTAAAATCGGAAGTCAGATAATAATTGGCTTGGCTTCTATCTATGCTAGCATCCTTGAGCGTGATTCACCAGCAACTGCTTTAGTATCTCTCCACCTTAGTGACTTTAAGATAGTGGACTTCAACTCCCAACCAGCTATGGGGGCTGAGGAATTCTGGGAGTTGAAGTCCAAAGGTCTTAAAGGGACCAAGTTTGAGAAACACTGAACTAGATTAAAGCAAGAGAGTCACCAAGGACAACTTGGATCCTTTAAATAAATAAATAAGAAGACGGAGATCCGGAACTGGATCCAGGCCTAGAGAATCTATTCAGATCAAAGAGGTAGTCCTCGATTTACGACCACAGCTGAGCCCAAAATTTCTGCTGCTAAGCGAGACGGTGGCTAAGTGAATTTGGCCCTAGTTTATGACCTATCGCAACGGTCATGAATATGAGCCAATTGCCAATTTTGTTCACATGACCGGGGCAATGCCATGACAATCGTAAGTATGAAAAACGGCGATAAGACACATTTTTCCATGCTGTTATAACTTCGAACAGTCACTAAAAGAATAGTTGTAAGCTGAAGATTATTTTTATTTGTTACAAACCAGTGACATGAATCCCCTTCAGATTGGTATATTTCTGGAAGAAGCTCAGCTGGATTTCTTTCGTATATACCTGCCATTGGCTTTACACGAACTTTGTAGCCATTGGTGTTTCCTTCGGATTCCTTCCACTTCATTTGTAATCTGTCTTCCGAAAGGACCGTCAGCTTCAGGCGGTTTGACCCTGCAGAGAACCAGCATTAGCTTTACAAGTGGAAGCAGAAAACATGGATGGATTTTTTGGTGGGATGGCAGAATGGAATGGAACGGAACGGAATGGAACAGAACAGAACGGAGTGGAATAGAATAGAATAGAATAGAATAGAATAGAATAGAATAGAATAGAATAGAACAGAGCATAACAGAACAGAACAGAACAGAATAGATTGTAGAATAAAACAGAACAGAATAGAATAGAATAGAACAGAGTAGAACAGAATAGAATATAGAACAGAACAGAATAGAATAGAACAGAATAGATTGTAGAAAGAACAGAACAGAATAGAGAATAGAATAGAATAGAATAGAATAGAATAGAATAGAATAGAATAGAATAGAATAGAAGCTGGAAGGGACCTTTGAGGTCCTCTAGTCCAACTCCCTGCTCAAGCAGGAGATCCTATATCAGTGATGGCGAACCTTTTAGAGACCAAGTGCCCAAACTGTAACCCAAAACCCACTTATATATCGTCAGGTGCCGGGTGTGCGTGGCCCATTGGGTGGGTGTGGCCCGTTGAGTGGGCGTGGCCCATTGGGTGGGCGTGGCTGTGCTGGTAATGGCAGACTGGGTGGGACTAAAAAGTTCGATCAATCAATTCCAACTTTGTGAGATTTTTTTTCCGGCGAGAAGTTGAAATTGATTGATTGATTGAACCTTCTTTTTTTTTGCACACGGCGGTGGAGGCCTAAAGTGAAAAGGTTTTATGAAACCCAGCTGAAGGCCTAGGACTGGGGCGACGGCGTGTGTGCCCACAGAGAGGGCTCTGAGTGCCGCCTCTGGCACCCGTGCCATAGGTTTGCCACCATGGAGTTACACATACCTAGCTGGTTACCAAAAAATGAATGTCCTTGCTGCTTTACTGAGCAGAAAGAGATTGGTCCTGTCTGGAGGAGCTTACAACCCAAAGTTCAACGAAGAGAAAGAAAGATGTGGAGAAAAGTGGAAGAGAAAGGACTTTGTTTTGTTTTATTCTGATTGAAGGATCGTGCTTTCCTCTTGACTATTTATGGGCTGCCCACTTGCAAGACCCAAGTCATTAACCGCCAGCCTCAGTGAACAACACAGCCACCAAATGTCAGAAATGTCATCCCTGAAATGCAATCAGGGTGACCCAACCGTCAGAGTCCAACAATGGCTCCAAAGGACCACAGTCCCTTCCACATCTGTGACCTTTAACCTTTGGGAGATAGTCTTCTAGCTTCCTGGAAGGAAATTATGTTGCATGGGAAAACAATGCGGGGATTCAGAGGCAGCTTTAACCAAGCAAAGCTGGAGAGCGAAGCTTCGATTGTGAAGGACGACATACACAAACAGGCAGGCTTTTTCATGGGGCCAAGGCACGGAGACAAAGACAGGATTATTGGGCTAATAAAGCCAGAAGTTGTTTTCAGCTCTTCTTCTCCATCCCAGATCTTGGTGGTCGCTCTAGGAGCCACACAACAGCCTGACAAGAATGTTGACGGCTGAATGCCAAATTTGAGCTTTTAATTAATCCGAGCGTTGGAATTAAAATAGGCTGTATCCCATCGAAAAGTCCATTCTTGGTAGGTGTTTTCATCATATGGTATGAATGCTCCAACATTGGACATTTTTAAGAAGAGGCCAGACAGCCATTTGTCTGAAATGGTATAGGGTTTCCTGCCTGAGCAGGGGGTTGGACTAGATGACCTCCAAGGTCCCTTCCATCATCATCATCATTACTATTATTATTATTTTTCCTGGTTTTCTGACTGCGATAGTAAGAAAAGATCCCCTAATAGGTATAGTAGGGGTGAAAAGAGTACAAGGCACTCAGAGAAATGTACATTGGAATTTATTTTTTTTCCTCTTTTTCCCTCTCAAAGATGTAGCCCTTGCCTTGTCCACACTGTGCTACATTAGATTTTAGGTGGGACTTGGTTGAACGTTCCTCCTAAATAAAAAGATGATCTGCACATCCAGACCTGTTTGTGAGGAGGAGGAGGAGGAGGATTTCTCAGCAAAATCTCTCTATTATTTGTTAATATTCCAGGTAGTATCTGGTGGTACCAGGATTCAGTAGTAGCAACTGTAAGAGGGATCTAGAAAACCACCACTTAAGTATGAGCCGGCAATGTGCTGCCTTAAAGATAGGTAGGTAGGTAGGTAGGTAGGTAGGTAGGTAGGTAGGTAGGTAGGTAGGTAGATAGATAGATAGATAGATAGATAGATAGATAGATAGATAGATAGATAGATAGATAGATAGATAGGCAGGCAGGCAGGCAGGCAGGCAGGCAGACAGACAGACAGACAGACAGATAGATAGATAGATAGATAGAGAGTCAAGGTAGGTAAGTAGGTAGGTAGGTAGGTAGGTAGGTAGGTAGGTAGGTAGGTAGGTAGGTAGGTAGGTAGAAAGAAAGAGAGAGAGAGAGAGAGAGGAAGGAAGGAAGGAAGAAAGAAAGAAAGAAAGAAAGAAAGAAAGAAAGAAAGAAAGAAAGAAAGAAAGAAAGAAAGAAAGAAAGAAAGAAAGAATCACAGATTATAGTAGAGAAAACCACTAATATAAGCAGAAGGAGAAATACACATACATATGTAGAGAATTGAGTACAGGGACAAATAATGGTCTGCATCCTTTTCCTTTACATCCATCACTAAATAAAGAAATGGGCCAAATAGTCAGGCAAAATAACAGTGAGAACAATCAGAATGTTTTCCCCTCCAGGTCAGGCTTCTATAATGGGACAAGGATTGGTGCCCCAATGCTCATTTGCTGCATCCCCCACCCCACACCATAATTAATTAAAAGCAGCTGTAAACGTATAATCCATCAACACACAACATGGGGGGTGGGGGGGGAAGATGGGGAAACTCTACCCAATTACTGTAGTTCACAATTCCCAAAATTATAAAACTGGATGATGGAGCAAATAAGTTTTTTATAATCCTGGACCCATTTTTTTTTTAATGAAGAGCACGCTTGTTCAAAAACTCCAGCTGTTGCTGAGCCTTGAATAAACTTAAATAACTTTAAATTAAGCTTAAATTAACCTGGAATCCTCTCTACCAAGGCTGCATGCCACATTTTCACATACCCTTGTTTGCTGCCCATTTTGAGCGAAGATTCACAACTCTAAAATCATCATATCGCATGACAATTGAGACAACACGGTACCATACTCAAGAACGAGACACAGAGAGACGATCCAAACCCACTTCTGGACAAACACGTCCATTTATCATTGTTGCAACGTTCGACTTTCAGTCAGGAAGTTGGGAGAGCTCCTTACCTTGAGCACACACCTCTAAGGTGATAAAACTTGCAAGCACCAGGAAAGAAATCCAAAAATAATTCTGGCCCAGCGGGACAACCTGCATAAATAGAAAATGGGCATTTAGTTAGAGCAAACTTAAAGGAGTATTTTGCCCCCTGGGATCTGTAGAGGCCACAGAGGTCAAGGGAAGGGAGAGGATCAGAATGACGAAGGCTATAAAACAAACTCTGTGTACACCTTTTCTTTGTAGCTGCCCCCATGGATAAATCTCTTTGCTTTGGGGAATAAATAAGTCTCCTTTCCTCTGAGTTTCATTTTTATTTGTTCTTGTGCAACCCTGACTTGAATTGGAGCCCTGAATTACACTCCTGACATTCTTAACTGCCCAGTTTCCCTCCGACAGGTATATTTTCATGCCCCTTTGGATGTGCACAAGGCCCCGCCTCTTTGCAGGTACACATAAAAGGGGGCAGCCCTGGATCAGGCTGGCCCAGCTAGTCCCCATCTTGCAATCTTCTTTCCATTAGAAGAGAAGCTACAAACGCAAAGGATTCTGTGTGCTTGTTTGTGTCCCACCTTTATTACTTTACAAATAACTCAAGGCAGCCAACCTGTCCAGTACACCTTCTTCCTCCTGTTTTCCCCACAACAACCCTGTGAGGTAGGCTGGGCTGAGAATGAGTGACTGACCGAAAATCACCCAGCTAACTTTTATGCCTAAGGTGGAACCACCCAGCCGGCTTTCATTTTTAATTTAATTATTTTGATTTATTTATATGCTGTGGTGGTTACCATTTTTATAAACTCAAAGCAGCCAACATATCAGCCTTCCTTCCTTCCTTCCTTCCTTCCTTCCTTCCTTCCTTCCTTCCTTCCTTCCTTCCTTCCTTCCTTCCTTCCCTCCCTCCCTCCCTCCCTTCCTTCCTTCTCCCATCTCCTTCCTTCTTTCCCTCTTCCTTTCTGACCTCCCTTCCTCCCTCCCTCCCTTCCTTCTCCCATCTTCCTTCCCTCCCTTTCTTCCTTCCTTCTCCTATCTCCTTCCTTCCTTCTTTCCCCCTTCCTTCCTTCCTTCCTTCTCCCATCTCCTTCCTTCTTTCCCCCTTCATTCCCTTCCTTCCTTCCTCCCTCCCTTCCTTCTCTCATCTTCCTTCCTTCTTTCCCCCTTCCCTCCCTCCTTCCTCCCTTCCTTCTCCCATCTCCTTGCTTCCTTCTTTCCCCCTTCCTTCCTTCTCCCATCTCCTTCCTTCCTTCTTTCCCCCTTCCTTCCCTCCTTTATTCCTTCCTTCCTTCCTTCTCCCATCTCCTTTCCTTCTTTCCCTCTTCCTTTCTGACCTCCCTTCCTCCCTCCCTCCCTCCCTTCCTTCTCCCATCTTTCTTCCCTCCCTTTCTTCCTTCCTTCTCCCATCTCTTCCTTCCTTCTTTCCTCCTTCCTTCCTTCCTTCCTTCCTTCTCCCATCTCCTTCCTTCTTTCCCCCTTCATTCCCTTCCTTCCTTCCTCCCTCCCTTCCTTCTCTCATCTTCCTTCCTTCTTTCCCCCTTCCCTCCCTCCTTCCTCCCTTCCTTCTCCCATTTCCTTCCTTCCTTCTTTCCCCCTTCCTTCCTTCCTTCCTTCCTTCCTTCCTTCCTTCCTTCCTTCTCCCATCTCCTCCCTTCCTTCTTTCCCCCTTCCTTCCCTCCCTTCCTTCTACCATCTTCCTTCTTTCTTTCCCCCTTCCTTCCCTCCTTTATTCCTTCCTTCCTTCCTTCCTTCCTTCTCCCATCTCCTTTCCTTCTTTCCTTCCTCTTTCTATTTTCCCCACAACAACAACGCTGTCAGGTGGGCTGGGCAGAAAGAGAGGGGCTGCCAAATCGTTTCCCTCTGGTGCTTTCAAGAAAGGGAGAGGTTATCAGTTCAAACAGAAAGAATTTTCATCTGGCCAGGCAGCTGACACAGGACTTAAGAGATCAGAGCAAGCTGCCAATTCTCAAAGGAGATTCTGCAGGTGTCTTGATCCAGCCTGAGCTGGATCTGCCATGTGTGATGGGGCATGAATGGCAGGGAGGGTCTGGGGTGGGATTATCAAAACGTTTGAAATAGTTGTGTAGAAAAACGTCGCCCCTCAAGCATCGTTTTCGCCTTTCTTCACTCCTTAACACCGTTGCCCCAGGACTGTCAGAAAGATTTAATAAATATCGGTTGCAATTTAGCTTCTCCCAAGAGGCAGCTAATATTTGCTTTCTCAGCAATTTCAGACTTAATTTGATCCCTCTCAAATGTCATGGAATCCGAGCCTGGCTGGATTTGTCCAGAGATCTCTCCCCCTATATATCTTCTAGAGAGAGAGAGAGAAAGCATAAAACATAAAACCATAGGACTGGAAGGGACGTCAGAGGTCTTCTAGTCCAACCCCCAGCTCAAGGCAGGAGATCTTATACCATTCTAGACAAATGGCTGTCCAATTTCTTCTTGACAATCTCCAGTGATGAAGCACCCACAATGTTCAGAGGTAAGCTATTTCACTGATCGATTGTTCTTACTGTCAAGTAATTTCTCCTTAGTTCTAGGTTGCTTCTCTCCTTGATTAGTTTCATTCTGTTGCTTCTTGTCCTGCCTTCAGGGGCTTTGGAGAATAGCTTGACTCCCTCTTCTTTCTGGCAGCCCCTCAGATATTGGAACACGGCTATCCCATCTCCCCTAATCCTTCTCTTTGATAGGCTAGACCAGGGGTAGGCAACCTTGGCTCTTTTATGACTCATGGACCAATTCCCAGAATTCCTGAGCCAGCATGGCTCAGCTTGGACACTTCTTCCTTTTCCCTCAGCGTGGCTGGCTCAGGAATTCTGGGAGTTGAAGTCCACGAGTCATAAAAGAGCCACGGTTGAGGACCCCTGATATAGGGCAGGGATAGGCAACCTTGGCTCTTTTATGACTCGTGGACTTCAACTCCCAGAATTCCTGAGCCAGCCACGCTGAGGGAAAAAGGAGAGGTTTCCATGCTGAGCCATGCTGGCTCAGGAATTCTGGGAGTTGAAGTCCACGAGTCATAAAAGAGCCACGGTTGAGGACCCCTGATATAGGGCAGGGATAGGCAACCTTGGCTCTTTTATGACTCGTGGACTTCAACTCCCAGAATTCCTGAGCCAGCCACGCTGAGGGAAAAAGGAGAGGTTTCCATGCTGAGCCATGCTGGCTCAGGAATTCTGGGAGTTGAAGTCCACGAGTCATAAAAGAGCCAAGGTTGCCTACCCTGGTCTAAGGTAAAGCAGACAATTAAGTTGATTTTTCTTGGAGCTCTTGGAACCCCACACATTCCTTTTCGTGCAATTTCCCAAATTTCAACTTTGATTTAAAAAAAAAATATCCAAAGCCCACTCCACCAATGGTGTCCTAGCTTTGTAACGCCACCCATTGCCTGAACCTATGCTCAGATTAGATCCATCTCAGCAAGCTTCCTCCAGAAGTTCCTCCAGGGGCATTGTGGGTGGATGGCGGTCATAATTCACAAGACGCGAGATGCAACATCGCAACTGAAGCTCTGAATCTTTTGTACATGCATGGAAGCACTCACATCCAAAAGGATCCTGGGTTTTTCACCCCTGCAGACCCCCCCCCCCTCCTAAGTTGTCCTGGGTAGGAAATTCAAATTGCTCCCATCTATGGAAGATGCCAAGTATGGAAAGAAGTTGGCAAAGAACCCACTCCATATTAATTCACTTAAATCACATTCAAGGACAGCAGCACCTTTTAAGAAAGATGGCCACACATACGTCAACACGTCCTATTCATCCTCTAAATCAGGGGTGTCAAACTCAATTTCACTGAGGGCCGCATCAGCATTGTGGTTGCCCTCAGGGGGCCGGGTGAGTGTGGCTAGGGTGGGTGTCGCCTACTGGGTAGGTGTGGATGAAGTGGGTGTGGCCTACTGGCTGGATGTGGCCAGCTCTACCGCGTCAAGGGGGCCTGTGGGGCCTGGGCAGGAGTGGGATAGATCTGAGGGTCTCTGGCAGAAGGGGGTGGGACTGGAGCAAGTGCCAAGGCATGGTCCACTGGAGGAGCCTCACTGTTCCTCTCAGGCCATGCAGGGGAGGGGTTTTTGGAGCTAAGACTGAATGTGTTTCAGCATAGATGGCCACCACAAAATTGTACATTGGCTCCCGGCCGGCCTGGGCCAGGGCCAAGGCAGCGGGGGCCATTGCCTCACTGTTTCCAGGATGGCTTCGTGGGCCACATGAAACCACTTTGCGTGCCGCATCTGGCCCCCGGGCCTTGTGTTTGACATGTCTGATCTAAATAGAGCTGGGGATTTTTCTGTCCTCCCAGTTTCCACCTCAAAATTCAGAGCAACTTTCAGAATATTTTGATAATACGAGCCGCGGCTTACAAGACCACAAAGCAACCATTACTGGCAGACAACTCTGCCAAACAAAACCTCCATCGGATCATAAAGAATTAGAAATGCTTGAATGAATGAAGAACACAACACTATTGAGCTCAAAACTTCAGTTGCTAAGCAAGATCTTTGCTAAGCGAATTTTGCCCCATTTTATGACCTTTCTTGGCCCAGATCTGAACACTGGGCGCTATCTAACAAAATGAAATTCAACGGTGAAAAAAGTAAGGTTCTACATTTAGGCAAAAAAACCCCAAATGTACAGGTATAGTATAGGGGGTATCTTGCTCAATAGTAGTAGTAACTGTGAGAGGGACCTCGGAGTCCTAGTGGACAATCACTTAAATATGAGCCAGCCGTGTGCTGCAGCTGCCAAAAAAGCCAACTCAGTGCTGGGCTGCATTAACAGAGGGATAGAATCAAGATCTCGTGAAGTATTAATACCACTTTACAATGCCTTGGTAAGGCCACACTTGGAATACTGCATCCAGTTTTGGTCACCACAATGTAAAAAAGATGCTGAGACTCTAGAAAGAGTACAGAGAAGAGCAACAAAGATGATTAGGGGACTGGAGGCTAAAACATATGAGGAACGGTTGTTGGAATTGGGTATGTCTAGTCTAATGAAGAGAAGGACGAGGGGGGACATGATAGCAGTCTTCCAATATCTCAGGGGCTGCCCCAAAGAAGAAGGAGTCAAGTTATCCTCCAAAGCACCTGAAGGCAGGACAAGAAGCAATGGATGGAAACTAATCAAGGAGAGAAGCAACCTAGAACTAAGGAGAAACTTCCTGACAGTTAGAACAATTAACCAGTGAAACAACCTGCCTCCAGAAGTGATGAATGCTCCAACACTGGAAGTTTTTAAGAAGAGACTGGACAGCCATTTGTCTGCAATGGTATAAGGTTTCCTGCCTGAGCAGAGGGTTGGACTCAATGACCTCCAAGGTCCCTTCCAACTTTATTTTTATTATTATTAGTTGTTAAGGGAATCCCTGCAGTTGCTTCAGTTAGTAACACGGTTGTTAAGTGAATCTGGCTTCCCCATTGACTTTGCTTGTCAGAAGGTTGCAAAAGAGGATCATATGACCCCAGGACATTGCAACCATCATAAATACGAATCAGTCTGAATTTGTATCACGTGACCATGGGGGGGATGCTGCAACGGTCGTAAGTGTGAAAAATAGTCGTTAAGTCACTTTTTTTCAGTGCCGTTATTTTTGAACAGTCACTAAACGAACCATTCTTAAGTCAAGGACTACCTGTACCTTAAAGATTTTGAAACCCTCACCAGGATTGATAAAACGGGGACTTGCACAACCTCCGTGCCTTAAGAGTTAATTTAACGATTTGGTTACTTACTTAATTATTTGCTTATTTGATTTCTATAGCCACCCATCTCAACACAGCACACTCACAATTCAAGCCCATACGTTACAGTTAAAATCTCGAAAACGTTTTAAAACAATAACAACCGTCAAAACCATTAAAACAGTACAAAAAATTAAAAGATTTTTTTTTAAAAAAAAACCTCTTTTAAGAGTTTCTTGTGGCCACAGCCCCATAAGATTAGGTGCGTTGACCATCTTGGTAATAATAATAATAATAATAATAATAATAATAATAATAATAATAATAATAATAATAACAACAACAACAACACCCCAGACTTAACAATTGTCAATAAGAAAGACAAAAAATTCTGGATAGTGGACGTGGCAGTGCCTGGAGACAGCAGAATAGACGAGAAAAAACTGCAGAAGATAACAAAATACAAAGACCTACAAATAGAAATAGAAAGACTGTGGCAAAAGCAAGCAAGGGTAGTACCAATAGTCATAGGCTCCTTGGGTGCAATCCCAAAACAACTGGAGCACCACTTGAACACCATTGGCATTGACAAATTCGCTATTAGTCAATTGCAAAAGGCGTCCTTATTAGGAACTGCTTCCATCCTGCGACGATATCTGTAATACCATCAAACATCCACATCTGCCTATCCCAGGTCCTGGGTAAGGACTCGATAGGTAGACAAAATGCCAAATCCAGTCTGAACATCTGGCTGACTGTGCGATGATCGATAATAATAATAAAAAATCACAAGCTTTGCAGGAGGTTTGCAGCCCCGTTTCAAGCAAAGGAGATAATTCTTTTCCCATCAAGAATTTCCCTGCTGAAATTTGGAGAGAGGAGTTGCTCGGACATTACCCCTGAATTGTATCTGAAGAGGGACGAGAGGGAAGAAAGGAGAGGAGAGAGAAAAGAGTAAAGGAGGGGAGAAGGAAGTAGGAAGATTGGAGGAGAAGAGAAGAGGGGAGAAGTGGTGAAGGAAAGAGAAGAAGAGAGGAAGAAGAGGGAAGTAGGGAAGAGAAGAAAGGGAGAAAGAAGGTAGAGAAGAAGGAGTGTGGATACAATGAAAGGGGAAATGGGCGAGCAACACCAAAAGTCATGTGTATGTATTTATTTCTTTTTATTAAAAGTATCTTATATATGAATGTAAAAAGAATGTATGTTAACATCTGATAAATATCACGGTATATGTATGGGGGAGAGTTTGGAAAAAATAAAAAATTATTTTAAAAAAATGAATTTCCTTGCTTTATAGCTCCATCCTTTCACTCCTACGGGGATAAAAGCCAGCGAGTCAAAAGAGTTCACGACTCTAATCCTATCCCAACCAAATCGACAAGGCATCCTGAAAAAAAAAAAATACCCACACAGACCCAGAAAGCCACATCGCCAAGCCAAATTTCAAAAACCTTAAATTGCGAAGAGAGAATTGGCCACTGACCTTGTATTCCTGCATATTTGAGGTGAGAGAGTGCGAAGAAGCTGAGCCACAATCCTTGAAATCTGAGGAAGGAAACCAAGGACTGTTCTGTTTTCTTAGAGGATTTTTTTTTTCCCTTTCTGCTTTTCTTTCTTTTTTTTTTAATTTTGGGTGGGTGGGGGTGGGAGATTTCCAAGTGAGACGTCAATTTTGCAGAGCGGTGATGAAGCCGAGAGAGTTTTGTGGGGTTTTTTTAAAACTCAAGAATCAACCTATGGCGAAGACGGTTATCTTGTGATGATTACTATAGGGGGCACCCTTGAACAATGCATAGAACGGGGTATTTTGAGCACAAGAGCACGGCAAAACTTTTATTAAGCTTTATTGGTTCTGGACCCCACTCTAACATCAGCAGTGGTTTCTTCTGTTTCACAGTCTTGGTTTTTATGGATCCCTTTGAAAGGAATAGAATAGAATAGAATAGAATAGAATAGAATAGAATAGAATAGAATAGAATAGAATAGAATGGAATAGAATGAAAGGAAATAGAATAGAATAGAATAGAATAGAATAGAATAGAATAGAATAGAATAGAATAGAATAGAATAGAATAGAATAGAATAGAATAGAATAATGGTGGGTTGGGATGGAATAGGATAGGATAGGATATAGAATGGAATGGAACGGAACGGAACGGAACAGAACAGAGTAGAGTAGAATAGAATAGAATAGAATAGAATGGAATAGAATAGAATGGAATGGAATGGAATGGAATAGAATAGAATAGAATAGAATAGAATAGAATAGAATAGAATAGAATAGAATAATGGTGGGTTGGGATGGAATAGGATAGGATAGGATATAGAATGGAATGGAACGGAACGGAACGGAACAGAGTAGAGTAGAGTAGAGTAGAATAGAATAGAATAGAATAGAATAGAATAGAATAGAATAGAATAGAATGGAATGGAATAGAATAGAATAGAATAGAATAGAATAGAATAGAATAGAATAGAATAGAATAGAATAGAATAGAATAGAATAGAATAATGGTGGGTTGGGATGGAATAGGATAGGATAGGATATAGAATGGAATGGAACGGAACGGAACAGAGTAGAGTAGAGTAGAGTAGAATAGAATAGAATAGAATGGAATAGAATAGAATGGAATAGAATAGAATAGAATAGAATAGAATAGAATGGAATGGAATGGAATGGAATAGAATAGAATAGAATAGAATAGAATAGAATAGAATAGAATAGAATAGAATAGAATAGAATAGAATAGAGCTGGAAGGGACCTTGGAGGTCTTCTAGTCCATCCCCCTGCTCAAACAGGAAAACCTATACCATCTCAGACAAGTGACTGTCTAGACTCTAGCCTCTTCTTGAAAATCTCCAGTGATGGAGCGCCCACAATTTCTGGAGGCAAAGCTGTGCCGCTGGTTGATTGTCCTCACAACATTAGTACAGGTAGCCATTGACTTACAGCCATAAATTTAGTGACCATTCAAAGTTACAACCGTGCTGCAAATGACCTGTGACCATTTTTCACACACACAAAACACAATTTTTCCTCCTTTGAGATTGATGTTTGTGCATACATGGCTTGGACTCATTTACTGTGTGAGGATCTGGGCTGCAATTTTTTCCAGTGACCACTAGAGGTCAGCAAGAGACACGGAAGACTGTCAGTTTGCTGCTCTCTAGGGGTGTCTGGATTTTTGCGGTACAGATGGTCCTCGACTTACAACAGTTCGTTTAGTGACCATTCAAAGTTACGCCGGCACTGAAAAAAGTGACCTATGACCATTTTTCACACTTATGACCATTGCAGCAATTTCAGTGATTCGCTTAACAACTGTGGCAAGAAAGGCTGTAAAATGGGGCAAAACTCACTTAACAAATGCCTCACTTACCAACAAAAAAAATTGGGCTTAATTGTGTTGTAAGTCGAGGACCATCTGTACAAAGAGGAGCCTGGTGACAAGATAGTTTGAAACAGGGTTGGGTGATTCACTTAACCTCTATGGAAAGAAAGGTCATCAAACGGGACAAGATTCACTTAAAATCTGTCTTGCTTAGTGACAGAAATTTGGGGGCTCACTTGTGGTCATAAGTCAAGTCCAGGACTGCCTTTATAATATAACAAATTGAAAAGACAATTTCTCATTTATCAATACATTTTTGGCTTATACATATCTTAATTACATTCAATCTTCATAAACAATCCATATCCTGTTATTAATTTTACATAATTTTTATTGTTGATATAATTAGAAATGTACTAGCTTGAATACGAGACAGTAAATGTTAAGAGAAAAAGAGAACAAATATCTGATGTTGTAACCTGAGATTTGCACTAAAGATTTTGTTATTGAACTATTGATTAACCCAGTCACCACGTTGCTTTATAAATACGCAAATGTAAAATTGGAAAATTAATAAAATAGTATATAAAAAAGACAATTTCTCCCACTTCTTATATTTTATAACTTGGTAAAATCTTTCAGCATTTAAGAAACTCAAGAAACGGTTGACGCCTGCTCAGGATGGCGTCTTCAGAAGTACTTCAGTTACAGAATCATTTTTCTTTGCTTTTCTGCTTTGCTGCCTTTCTGTATTCTCAGACTGCATGAGGAGCTCTTTTTAATTCCTCTTGGTGATGTTTCTGAATTTGTGTCATTATTAGAGGTAGCAGAGAGCTGTTTTCATCCAGGGAGCTGTTTTCTCTGATTACAGGTAGTCCTTGACTTACAACAGTCTGTTTAGTGACCGTTCAAAGTTACAATGGCATTGAAAAAAGTGACTTATAACCATTTTTCACGGTTACAACTTCCATAGCATCTCCATGATCGTGTGATTCAAGTTCAGATGCTTGGCAACTAGATCATACTTATGATGGTTACAGTGATCCAGGGTCACGTGATCCCCTTTTGCAACCTTCTGACAAGCAAAGTCAATGGGGAAGCCAGATTCACTGAACAATCGGGTTAGTCCCGCCTTAGGCATGAAAGCCAGCTAGGTGACTTTGGGCCAATCACCAGGAGGCTGGGCGTTCTAGTCGCGTCTTAAGCATGAAAGCCAGCTGGGTGACTTTGGGCCAATCACCAGAAGACTATGAGTTCTGGTCCCGCCTTAGGCATGAAAGCCAGCTGGGTGACTTTGGGCCAATCACCAGAAGACTATGAGTTCTGGTCCCGCCTTAGGCATGAAAGCCAGCTGGGTGACTTTGGCGAATCAACAGGAGGCTGGGCGTTCTAGTCCCGCCTTAGGCATGAAAGCCAGCTAGGTGACTTTGGGCCAATCACCAGGAGACTGGGTGTCCGAGTCCCGCCTTAGGCATGAAAGCGACTTTGGGCCAATCACCAGGAGATGGTGAGTTGTAGTCTTGCCTTAGGCATGAAAGATGACTGGGTGACTTTGGGCCAATCACCAGGAAACAATGAGTTCCCGCTTTAGGCATGATGACCAGTCATCAGGAGAATGTGAGTTCTAGTCCTGCTATAGGCAGAAACGAAGGCTGGGTGTCTTTGGGCCAGTCACTGTCTCTTAGCCCATCCCACCTTACAGGACTGTTGTTGGGGGAAAATAGAAGGAGCATTACGTATGTTCGTCACCTTGAATTAACGATAAAAATAATGAAGGAAACAAGCAAACAAACAAATAAATAAATTGAACTCAGCATCTTTAACCATTACACCAAAGTTGCTTAGTTTCCTGCTTATGGGTGTTTTATATCATTTCAGCCTCAAAACCTTGTACATTCCTTAGCATGACTGACAACCCAAGTTGATCTACAAAGGCCTATATTTCTTGTTTTAAATAAATAAAAAAAATCACCTAATTAACTTCAATTGCTCTTCTCACTTGGTGGAACTGCTTAGGGCTTCAAAAGAGGTGAAGGGACAGCCTAATCTCCACGTTGATTTCAGACTGCAGCAGACAGACAGGCAGACAGACAGACAGACGGGCCAGCTCAAGCAGTAACACGTCTTGAACAGATTATATGAAACCTGTCTTTTGAGCGATCATAATCCATGAGAAATCAGAAGATCCAGGCAGTTCAAATTAATATAAAGGTTTACTACAAGCTGAAGCTCTCTACAAGGATCTGAATGACTAATGGTCCAAACAAATTGGAGGGAGATAAGAGTCAACAGAATTCAAGGAGGCTGGGCACGCAGGGACTCAAGACACACACAGCTCTGGGCTCAGCCTGGTCATCTTTGAGCCATGGTGGCACAGTGGTTAGAATGCAGTACTGCAGGCTAATTCTGCTTCCTGCCGGCTGCCAGCCGTTCGGCAGTTCGATCCTGACCAGCTCAAGGTTGACTCAACCTTCCATCCTTCCGAGGTCAGTACAATGAGGATCCCGATTGTTGGGGCTAATATGCTGATCCGCTTAGAGAGGGCTGTAAAGTACTGTCAAGCGGTCTACAAGTCTAAGTGCTATTGCTATCTCCTACACCGCTTTTCTGGTGCAGAGATTTCCCTAATGGGGAATCATGAAATGCAAACACAAAAATCAAATCCACGGGACTATTATCAAATTTGTTTTAAGGATTATTGGCCTTTGTTGATCTTCTTCTTACTGTGCGGAAAGAACACATCCAGAAGAGCTAAATTATCATGTGGTAACTGAACAGCTGCAATGATTCAGTTAACAACAGTGGCAAAAAATGGGATCATAAAATGGGGGCAAAATTCACTCTCTCTCTTAGTAACAGAAATTTTGGACTCAACAGTGATCGTAAGTTGAGGAATAACCTGTATTAAAATAATATTAACTCTTTGGATTTTAAACTGCAAGGTAATATGGTTATTCCTTAAGCAAGCAAGGATTTCATGTTGTGTTCTAACTATAGATCTACTTCCTTGATAAACATGAATATTAAGTTTTTACGATGCAGCACCATATTTCTGATATCTCTCTCTCTCCGGCTTCAGCAGTACTTCATGGGGCTACGGAAGTTTTTAATCATAGCAAGAATCGTGGTGCTGGAGAAGTCTCTTGAGTGTCCCTTGGACCGCAA